GTCGGGGGGGGGGGGTCTGAATATACTTCCCCCCCCCTCCAAAAAAAAAAAAAAAATATTTACATAGTAGGCCCTAACTCCTATTTATTTACAACAATTATTAGGATTAGTTAAGATTCTATCTGTATAAAACAATGTACAAATTAAAACACAAACACATGTTTATTATACTTTTTGAAATCCATTTATAATACACAAAATGTACAAAATACTTTAAATATTTATACAACTTTCTTGTAAATGTCAATGTGTATATGTGTATAGTAATGTAGTTAGCAATGTGTCAAACATGTATCCTCATAAACTAAAGTTATGTGATCAAGTTTTGTTTCATTTGGATCCTCCTCATAAAAATTCCCCAACTAAACTCTCTTTGTCGTGTTGTTCATAACTCAAGTGTAACATTCAATATGTAAAAGTCATGAAAAAAATATGAATACGGCACCCCCTGACTTAAACATGATAAAACATAGTATTGGTGTGATGTTTTAGTTTAACCCCGTAAATGCCAAAACAGTGTTTACAGAAGACTGAAACTTTATGGGGGTGCCCCCCCCCCCCCCAGTGGGAGGGTGACCCTCCCACACTCTCCCTATCGCGCTACATCCGGCGTGACAGATTGTTAACATTTTATATAATTTCATTTGCCGACCACCCCTGAACATGATCATTTATGACCTGATGGCCTTTTTCTGCTGACAAGATCATGACCGGGTCCTTTCCCTCAGACAGGACCATGACTTGGTCCCTTCCTGCTGACATGATGGGGATCACGTGGCTAAGTGGGTAAGACGCTGGCTCGCTAGCCTGGGCGACCTTCGGTTGCACTGATTTTCGTACTATAGTCGAACCATCTGCATGCGAATGACATTTAGTTCAACCAGTGGTCGTGACCAGCCGTACCATGCGATAAAGCACGGTCGGGATAGTTCAAAGATGGCTGACAAAACTGACACTTGAGAAGATTTTCTGAAAAATATAATAAAATTGCCGATTGCCGTTGCGTTATTTACACCTTGGTCGGTATTATAAGGCCCATGTTAACGCCTGAAAGTTAGTGAATGGGCATTGTAGTAGATGTTAAATATGGGGGTTTTTTTTCGTCTTTTTTGATGAATTTGACAGACTAGGATCTTCTTATTCGAATATGTATAGGCACACGACAAAAAACTGTTGTACGTGTGAAATGATTTAGTTGGGTGACATAATTCCAATGAAAAATATTCTGATATTGACTAATCCTATTTGTAACCTATTTTAAGCTTGCTTTCACATCGCAGTATGGAAAAATAACCAGTTTTTAAAAATACATGAGTAAATAGGAGAAAATATAGCAGGCGCAACAACTGACATGGTCGCGACCATATAGAATAGTCAATGGCTAGGGCCGTTTGCGTTTGGGTGCTAGTTCAGACTGTAGTCGCGACCATAGTCTACATCCGAAGGTCGCCCCTGGAGGTCGGGTGTTCGATCTCTGCATTGGCCGAGAAATTTCATCCCGATTTTCCGGCGTGGTTTTCACGGAGGGCCTGACAAGGACAGCTGTCTAGTCGTTCGGATGGGACGAAAACCCGAGGTCCCGTGTACAAATTGGCTTGGCGTGCACGTAAAAGATCCCCTGGAAGTTGAAATTCGATATAAGAGTAGGCCGTAGCGCCGGTGCCCGGGCAAAATTTCCCTCCTAGCACACTGTATGGCGTATGCCCGTCTTCATTAGCCCAGTTTAGGAGCAAAACAGTAGGACGTAAAACCCCATTTCATTTCATTTCATTTGCTGACATGATCGTGGTCTGCTTACGCTCTGCTACCATATTATGACCATTTTCTGACTTCTAGATATATAAGGATAACATACTCATTTCGTGTTAAAATGACCTCACAAATTCGCCCTAGCGACCATATCTGTTTCGTGCCTATGTGCCAATAACCTGAATGATCATGTGTTTGATTAAGCTTTAAGCAGACAGGCAAAGCTGGGATCAGTTATGGCAGAATGAGTTAAAACAGAAAATAAATTGATACATCAAAAATAATTATCGTAACAACAGACTGAGCTGATTACCATATAGATAAGCGTATATTGTCGGATATTAAATATTGATTAACAGGATGTGGTAAATCTCAGGAAGGCCAAAGAAGTAGGTGATATGGCGTTCAGAGATTTAACGAGCGGATAATAATCGAGTGAATCCCTGGAGAAATGTAACAAGTTGTCTATCTTAATTAGCCATGCTGGACATCAATGGGAAAACTAGACTAAGCCAATTATAAGATAAGAGGCAAATAACAGCTTGCTAATAGCATAAATCCCAGCTGACTTCTCCAGATTTCAACAACCTGCTTCAATCCATTTAGGAAAACACAAACAAGATAATAATATTTGTTTTTGGACTAGGAACTTGTCGCTAACCGCTACGCATAGAAATATCTTTATCTCAAAATAACCAGAGTTGTGTTTATGGAGCAGAATCCTCGACATAAACTTAACTAGTGAACGAGAGGGAGAAAAGGAGATAGAGAGAGAGATAGAGAGAGAGAAAGAGAGAGAGAGAGGGGGGGGGACCCTGTATCCCCCCCTGCAATAACCCTACGTCTAATTGAGGTCTGTGACACTTTGTAAGGAATCTGAAGCAATGGGACATAAGGCGTTCGGGCAGCTTCTCTCCTCTAAGATTTTTTTTTTTAATTTTTTTTTAATTTCCCCATATCTAGGTGGAGTTCCTGGACATGAATTCCTCTGCTTTGTGTTACAAGTGTGATGTTTACTACTGTATACTACTTTCCGTCTCCCAAATAGTACCAAAAGTGTGTGGTTTTTACTTGACATCATCGGTATTGCTCCACTACTTACAATAACGGCAGCTTCTATCAATGCAGAATTGTGTCAATCATCAATACTCTAGGCTTTGGCACCATTAATTAAGACGCCAAATATAAACGACAAGATCAACAAGAGCGGCAAATCATGAAAACAAAAATATTTAACAAATTGAAAGTTATAATGGAAATAGAACAAAATACAAATTCCAACCAACTGTCCAACATATTTAAGAAATGAGTCTTATAAATTAGCATTTTTACATGTGAAAATAGCCACCTTACTATGTAAGTAAGCAGTTACGTGCACTGATGTAAGCATATTTGCATACGCATTACTAGGTTAAAAGTTAGGATTGTGTCGTGCTTTCCACTCCATATTGTTTTCAGAAGACGTTAAATCCAATTCCATCCCATTCTATATATTTTCCTAGTGGAAAAGAAAATATGGAAACCATTTCGGTTCTTTATTAAGAGTATTCAATGGTTTGTTTATGATTCTAAAGCTGTTACTTCTAACATCTCCAACATTTACATGTTCTTACAGTCGTCAAGTTATCCTGATGCCGATGTCTTTGTTTTTACACAAACAGCAATTTACAGCAAGTTGGGAAAAAATTTCCAATCGGCGAAGATCTTCAAAGCTTTAATGATCACGGTCTGCTAAAGCAATATGCCAGGGCACTTGTACTATCATTTGTAATTTTGTCATTGCTAACTGTTAGTGCTAATATTGTTTTGTCTTGTAGACGTGATCCATTTACTTCTTTTATAAGTTCCTGTAACCAGTAGCAGATCTAGAAGCTTTGAATTGGAGGGGGGGCGTTTCCAAATCTCGGGAGCCATCCACAATCCCACCCCACAATGGATGTCAACAAAATACCGGCTATAACACGACGGTGCCAATACGACGGTGTCGGTATAGTGAAGCGCAGAAGGGATTATCTATGAATAGGGTTCCAAATCTAGGACGCCATACACAATCCCACCCCACAATGTATGTCAACATACATCGTATTGCCCAGTGGCGTAGCCAGGATTTTCGTGAGGGGCGGCTTGAATGCCAAAGCAATAATTATTTTGAAAATTTGAGCCAATTTCCTGACATTTGAGGTCACTGCTGGAAGGAATATCAGAGATCCGCCTCTTAATTCTGTCGGTTTTGTGAGAGTTGGTATAAGATCACAGCGGTCAGCGGTGTGGAAGAATGATGACATAATGGAATATACCTGGGGCGCTTATGTGGACTCATGCCCCCCCCCCCCACACTTAAATCCGCACCTGCCCCTTAACTGCGTATGGAGACAAAACAAATGAAATGATCACAGACAATGGTCGTGCCGTGGTAACAGCTAATACAATGTTCATAGCATGGTGGAAATCAATTACCATTCCATAGACGATCCATTAAAAGTTAATCCATGCTGGATAGTCTCGTCCATAGTTATTTATACTGTTGTTGTTAGTGTTTAACGTCCGCTTCCACCGAAGGTGATATCGCAGACAAGTTGTCTTTTTTTATTTTCATGATCTTAGCCGGACATTAAATATATATAGCAATTGGCACAACAACCAAAAGCTGAAGACTGATAGATCACTTGGTATAAGATTATAGACACTAAGGGCACGTTTGATTGATCAGTATCCGAATCCTGCATTTTTAACGTTTGAAGAGCTTTATAGATGAGGGCGATTGGTAAAAAATAATTTTTGCTTAGGCATGTTTTAAGTTTTAACCATACAGTTAGACTGTATGCAATACTTAAGACAAATCGGTCAAACCATCTATGAAATAAATGGTAACCCTTTTTGTTATCAATTAACACTCAATTTGTGCCTAATTGTTTTTAAAACCATATAGGTATTTTAGTGTCTAACCAATTCACTGCAAATTTTATAAATAACTTCTAGCTTTCGATTTTTGTATCACAAAGAGAAAAGAAGCGTTTTTTTGTATTAGATAACTTTTATAAGGGCATATGTCACACCACAAAATTTCCCTTACAGCCCACTGCATGCCCATTCAGAAAAGTAGAATGTTAATACCCCATTTCATTTATTTTTTTCATCTTTTGACACACCATTCTCCTGTAAAAGATTATTAAATAACCAAACTCCAAACCTAATTAAAGACATAATTTATGTAAGATAGGGGAGTGATAAAAAAATACATCAAAACATAATAAATGAAAATATATTTATTGATAATACTTCCATATAGTAATAGTGATAGGTGGTGGTAACAATATCATACATATAGTATACATAATGCATATTTCACAGTAAGATATAAAATAATTCACTTTTAATAATAGACTATCAGTTACCTACAGGAAAGAAAAGGATTTGACTTTTTTGGAGTCATTCTGAGTTATTTTTGGTTACCATTGTCATATTTGCAATACTTGTGAGAAACCTTTTTGCCTGGAGTTTCAGCCTATTCTTCATTGAATTCCAACTGTGAAGGATTCTTTTATGTGCATGCCAACTGTACTTGTCAGCCCCACAAGGCACTACAAGTGGGAACTGGTGTTGAAAAATCATGATGTCTACTCAGCCCACAGGGTTTTTCTATTTATATGGCAACTATGTGTGTTAACCTTGAACACAATGCTGACTACTACTTCAAGAATCAGAAAAATTCTCTGGTCATCATCAGTAGCAATACCTGTGTCCTGTACTAGTATGAATACTGAAGTGTTGACCCAAACACAAATCTGATTAAGAAATTTAATTATAGTCACTTCATTCCTTTTTCAGTATTAAATTTTAAGCAAAAGCCGTTTTTGGTTTGAAATATTGTTACCATAATTTACAACAGAAACAGAAATAAAGAGTCATCTCCTTCAATTTAATCTAATTTTGAAATATTGATCAGTTTTAAATACTTTATAAATAAACCTTGTCAACATTATACTTGGAGCAATCATTTAATTTGTAAATTTCAATAACTTAATACACCATAAATTACTCAATTGATAATAAATATTAGTTTGTTACATTTTGAGCTCATTTAAAGAGTATTTTTTTCGTACTTATTTTGTCATTATTAATTATATATGTTCATAGTGAGCAACTCTTAAAAGATGGTTTTGTGATAACCATGACTTTATTTTAATCACTCCTACTACTGGTGTCACGGTATCAAGTTATTCAAATGCTTTTGGATTCCTCTCTCTGTATTTTTATTTGGATTCACAGGAAAATGTGGGCGTATAAAAATTCATTGATATATAAAATTCTTATAAAAGCAATCATCCTGCGCCTCGATTAACCTGTCTTTAAGAAGATGCATGTATAGTGACGACTTTCCACTATACACATTCTTTAATTTTTTTTGTGGATCTTAAGCAGCAGACACACTATGCAAATTTCTGCCCAAATCATCCGGCTTCATTCAAATGATTGAGTGTACACACTCGGCGAATTGTCACCAGTCGATTTCATCACCCTTCACGTTTTTTGGCTAATCATGGCCGTGACTAAGAAAAAGAATAAAATAGTTTGCAGTGGTGGGATTTTTTAAAATCTATGCTGTAGAAAGGGGTGGGAGAACAAGAGTGATGGAGTGATGGACCATGTGACTTTCCTAACATCAGCAATGTCTTTGCCAAACCAGCCACACTGGGCAAATATAAACGCAAAGAATGAAAATTCGGCTAAAAATATCAAACACGTTTGATGCAAGTGAATTATATTGGCGAATACAAATTCAGCATCACGACTCTGGACATACATGACAAAATTACAGGCAAATGATTTAGGCGAATGATTTGGCCAAATGATTCGCCAAGTGTGTCCATGCTTCACATTTAGGTGTTTGATTTGCATACTTTAACAAACTTTTTGTTCCGACACCCACAAAAAACTGACTTTTCCTTTTAGAATTTAATCACACATATCAATTAAATTGATAAAGGACAGAGTAAAGTCAATTCTTAGCTAATTCCTCATTATATACAATATTACACATTTAATTCTCATCTGACAATACGTAGTAAGTAATCATTGATAGATCCTATCAACTTACAACAAAAGAACTTAACAATATAATATTTACATATCTAGAAATAACTATCAACCTACAACACAAAAACAGTAGGCTACCTTACTAAAGCTCCAAATTTTAATTCAATTTTGCTTTAAAGAAACAACAGCTACTTGTATAAATGTACACAGTACAAATTAAAGAAACATTATATAAGATTTAGATAGATAGTCAGCTGTTCTTGCTATAATAGCGGGCATTGTCTAATCCATTGAAATGGTCTACAGAAGTGATTATTGGCTGTCGAACCAACAAAGTCGAAATAATAATTTATATAACATTTGAAGCCAGAAAAATGCCTGGTAATATTTAGTTATTACTATAATGCCTCTTTTAAAGTGAATATCAGTTTGTTAGAAATTTTGGTGTATTGTACAACATGGCCAACATTAGATCAGACTGAAAAAAAATATTTCAGTAAGAATTAATCAGAATTATATTCTGATTTCAAGAGCAACTTAGAATCCGAAAAAAGCTCAGGAAGGTGTAATTATATAGCCATCATTTTCCTTCCTTGCATTCATTTTTAACAAGTACAAGTACTTTAAAAGTTTGAAGTATATAACCAGGTATAACCAACAATACAATAGTTGAAGTGGTTATTAAAATGTTTTTATTTTAACTAAAATCTGTACAAACATTCTACTTATCAGGACTAGAAACGGGGGAATCCCATTTTTCATGTGAAACTCCTTTCTTTAAATCTGTAATTTGAACATGTACAGCTTGGTATTTTTCTTTCTTTGGTGGAATCAGACAAGTTTTATAAGACACATGATCACCAGGTTTAGGAACATATTCACCATCAATACTGAAAAAAAGACACTCCACAATAAGTAATTAAATTAACCTTTATAACAAATGTATATATACCGTTTTATTCTGATCAATATTCCAAGGCTTACAAGTATTTATAATGGTTAGCTTGTTTAAAGTCTTCATCTGCAGTCCAAATGATAGAAAATATATTCGTCTTGTGATCATTATTAACAAACATAAATTCAATTTTACATACTAATAAAAACTAATTAATTAATGGAAATCCCTAAATTTATGTTTAAAATCTCAGGTTTGCATTTTGATTCAGAAACTACTGACATGACTTAATCACTGATTTTTGTCCAAACATGAACTAAGTAACTAATTACTTTGTTGAATTCCGAACAAGGTCGGCAAAAATAAAGGCTTATACTAAAAACTAAACACCATATAAATCTAAATGGTAATGTTTATTTCTATTCTCAACCCGAGAAACTGGACAGTCATAAACTGGATGGCCGATATCAAAGCTTATAGTAGCACAAACCGGACCATTTTTTTTTTTAATGACTCTTGACTTCTTTTAAGACTTTCTGGATGGAAATCTATTAACTGAATATATATGTATTAGATCCTAGATAGTAAGAGCAGTTTCTCACCTTTTTTTCATCAAATGTTAAAGGTATCCAGGTTCTATTGCAACATAGATACGAAAATTGGTTAAAATCCAACAGATAATTTGGAGAAAATGTAGAATATCCCTGCACCACCCTCATCAAGTTGAGTATGTGAACTACCACAACCTAAGCAACATTCATAACAATTTTTATAAATCCTTCAAGTGCCTTGCAAAATAAATTTACCCTGTTTGTGTTGCCTCTGTCCCGCTCTACCCATATCGAGTCTAGCTATCTCATATTAACAAACAATATTAACAAACAAACTTTTATCTATGGATGAATCCTACAAAATTTCAAATAAATCTATTTAGCTATTCAGAGGAAAGAGAAGATTTTGTGATAACCTAAATTTGTTCTCTTAATGTGCCCCCTGCCCAGTCAAAGGGGTGGGGTGGGGCAAGCAACTTCATTCAAACAAATCTGAACAAACAATACCAAATTTAGTTGAAATCTTTCAAGTTTTTTATGATGAGAAATCAATCAGTATTTTCTTATATTTTACTTGAACTATGGGAAAATGATTTAAATTACTTACTCAGAAATATGAAAAAATAATTCTTGGTCTCCCTCATTTGCAGCTAGGGGTGTAATAAAACCATGTCCTTTTTGACGACAAAAACTTTTAACAAGCCCATTTTTGGTTGGTCCTGCTAAAGCAGCTTCTGATCTGAAATATCAATGTAATGTTTGTTAAAATTATTTACTTTGAAATTGATGTACCAGTTGGCAAATAGAATATTGATAGTGCTGATAATAACTAAATGTTTATGTCATAAGGTCACTTACGCTGAATATGTCCGATTTCTCCTATGTGGAATAGGACTAGGAATAAGAAATTTATTGACAAGTGGAGATCCAGCTAAGACAGCATTATTAATTGCTTGTGTTGATGGTACTGGTATATCTTTTGCTTCAGACATAATTATACCTGGGAAAAGAAAAATATAATTAAATTACATATGGCATTAATTCTTGGTTTAGAACTCAATAAATACTATCAAGAGAGAGAGAGAGAGAGAGAGAAATGGGGTTTAACTCCACTCGACACAAACTAGGTCATTTCGGGACTAACAAATGGTTTAACTTTATTTCAATAATTCGCTTGCGCGTAGGGTCTTTAGCAGTGGGAGGAAACCGGAGGACCCGGAGAAAACCCACGAGGTTGGACAGGCGACGCTACTCCTTGTCGCGTACAACCGGGGATTCGAAACCATGCAAGTTGACTCAATGACAGGCTTTATGATACAGCGCGCACGTGCTAACCATTCGGCCATCCAACCGCCCTAAAGAGAGAGAGAGAGAGAGAGAGAGAGATAACATCCATCAAACTTACTATTTCAATATTTAAATCATGACACTTAATTCAATGACAGATATTTCTATCTAAAGTGCATTCCTTAGAAAACCTTATACTGATGTAGGTTGATAAAATGCAGGATCTGATGGAGGCCGGAGGGCCTGACAAGGAACATCATCTAGTTGTTTGGATGGATCGAAAAACCAAAGTCCTCTGGTGTGTGCACATAAAAGATCCCTTGAGAGTGGAATTCAACAAAGAGTAGGTGGATACGCTGATGTCCACGCAAAATTTCCCTCATACATGTAGTACACTTTATGGGGTATGCAAGTCTGCAGTTTACATGTACATGTAGATCATAAGGTCTGCCATGAAATCAAATAGTGGCACAATGTGGGACTTTTCCAGGTCCTCCTACTGCTAAAGACACTATTATGTGAATTGTGCAATAGAATTATTGAAAAAAAATTATACCATATGTTAGTACCGAATTCACCTAGTTTAATGTTTGAGTGGACGTTAAACCCCATTTTCCTGTAGATGTGGTTTGATCACAGTAACTTACTTGTGAGAGAGAGAAATGGGGTTTAACGCCCACTCGACACAAACTAGATCATTTAAGGACTAACATATGGTTCAATTTTATTTCAATAATTTGCTTGCGCGTAGGGGTCTTTAGCAGTGGGAGGAAACCGGAGGACCAAGACAGAAAACCCACGAGGTTGGAAAACTTATTTGCAAATTATATCATAATAATGACAGTTTTTAGATCTTTTTGAACTGAAAATTACCTATTTGGAACCAGGAAATTTTAAAAGTGAAATCTTATTAAATAAAAATGATGATTGATTTGCAGATTGGGTAGATTTAGAGTAAATGAAATGGACATGGTACATTTAAGCAGATGCTCTTACTCTTGGTTGGTAACATTTCAGCACTGTCATCGTCAATGTCGCATACAAAAAGATGTATTTTGTGAAAGACAAAATTTAATGTCCTAAACTGTTGACCTGGCTGTCTATAGCAAATACTTCCAATACCGGTATGTCAACACTCAACATGTTCAGTGTTGACAGCAATTCTTCCATAAATATGCAATATGCATTGATTGACAGGCATAGAATTTCACATTGAATAACCATCACCTGTTTAGTAATGCAAATATCTAAACACGCCAAAACTAATTATAGGATTGCACCATGAATATGCATTATAAAATGCCAACCTACCGTTATAAATAAACCTTCTTTTGAAGTAAATAGCTCAAAAACTGAGAAATAGTATTCTCAATAAAAGGAGTTGAATTTAGACATAAAACCTCCAACAAAAGTACCAACTTTCAAATATGTATGATTTCCATATTGTATCCCGTAGGATTATAATTTATTTTCAAAATATTACCTTATCAACATATAAATATAAGCATTCCACACAATAATGTTACCCTTTAAATATTATCTAAATAAACTTTTACGGTAAATGGTTGTTTGGAGATTATCATTACCGGAAATGGTTTAAACCACGTGTCCTAAAAAAGGTAAACAAACCTATTGAAGTGAGAAATAAGACATTTTGTTCCACGTTATTCTCTCAAACATAAGTAAAATGTCAAGCGAAATGGTAAAGAGAAGTCTACAATTATTTGATGACCAGATAAAACAGAAAACAGGTGTTTATATTTTATTATTTTACCGGTATGGCGTATTGACTGAACTACGACTACGAGTACGAACGGATTAGTTAACAGGTTACCAGTTAGCTCGTCAACAAGCAACCTCGTGGCTCGTCCACACGAAAAGTCTAGTTGGATCGTCTACAAATATCAAAACTCACGACATTGTACATGTTAGGGATGCATAAATACGTTGTTGACTCGTCTACACAACATTGTTTATGTTATAGTATGGATACAGAAAGTAATAAGTAATAAAGTATTCATATTAATCATATACAGTGAGAAGGCCTACCCTTATGAAAAAGTCCTATAGAAAAAGTACAGGTTTCTATAGAAGTTTGTGGGATTCAATAGAATGCTATAGAATGCTGCAGTAAAACTAAATCATTCTGTATTTTGTTTTACATGACTATTGATTCAAAAACATGTACTATAGTTTTGTGTAGGATTGGTAGATGAATATTTTCCAAGTGTAATTTTCTATAGAATTCTATAGAATACTGTAAGAAACTATTGAAAAAAAAAAAAACCTACAGATTCATTGGTGCTGCTATAGTTTTCTATAGAACTAACTTGTATCCTCGAGTCAGTTGAGTAATTCTTCAGTTTTCTATAGCCTTTGTGCTAAAAACTATAGTTTGCTATAGAACTAACTTGTATTCTCATGTCAGCTGTGATTCCTATAGATTTGGTGGTAAAAACTATAGTTTTCTATAGAACTAACTTATTGTCTCAAGTCAGTAGTATATTCCTATAGTTGTCTATGACATTCTGTTGAAAACTAAGAATTTATATGTATACTATACTGAAACCATTTTAACAAATAGCCTACTATAGTTTCCTACATAATATTGTAGAAACAATGTTCTATACTACAGATTTCATAAATTGGAGATGTCTTTTATTCATACTATAGTTTACAATAGAATTTAGTGATGCACTTGTGTGAATTATGTAAACTTTTCCAACATAATTTTCCTGGATGCAGTTTTCCTTAATTTATTGTGATACCAAATGACAAACTAAAATAAGCTTACCACGAAAAATAAAATATAAAGTATAAAATAGTGTATATAATATGAATGAAATAGTGATACCTGTTGACACTCAAAGGAATTCCCCACCCCACCCTCCAAAAAATGCCAGTAAATGTAGATGTTCAGAACAAAAGTATCAGATAAGTCAATGAAATAAAGACAGAGTTTATTTGAACACAGTCTGACTGGTTAGTTAGTATTTTAATGACTATAGCAGATTCTGTACTCAGATTCTGTCAACCGTGTATACCTGTCAACATGTAAAACTATAATGAACAGCCAATGTACTCTCTTGAAATCTGTTTGGTCATTGGCTGAATTTAAAATTCAAAAATTCAGTGTATAACAACTTAACATGTTAGTATTAACAAGAAACTGAAGAGAATGGTGGTGTTTTTTCACAGATTAGATTAAAGATAGAAAGATAAGTATACTTTATTACTTTCTTAACAATAATATTAAATTACTTTAATTAGATAAGATTTATGTGATTTTGTTATTTATTTAACTTTATTACCTATTCTTATCCCTATATTTCAGTTTTACCAAGAAAAGAACTTTTCATGGTTCCGGCTGGTGAATCATCAACAGAATTCAGATTAATCCATGAGAGAAAAAATAAGCTTATCAATTTAGAAGAATCCATGAGAGAAAAATAAGCTTATCAATTTAGAAGAAATCATGGGCCAACTATATTTATTCCCAAAATAAGATTTAATAAAAAAAAGTCTATAGAATTCTATAGTACCCATTCCTACAGAAAACTATAGTGGCCCAATTTCCAAACTACAGAATACTACAGTGTTCATTCCTATACATAACTGTAGAATTTCCTACAGAAAGTGCAATAAAAAAACCTATAGAATACTACAATATTTTCCTATAGAAATTTTGCCATAAATCTGTAGGAAAAACTATAGGATGTGCGCTACAGAAACTGTAGAATATTTGGGGCCGTTATTTCCTACAGGCCCCCAAAATTCTGTAGAATACTATAGAATTTTATCCTATAGAAAATGGGACACGCCCCCAAAAAAACTCTATAGATTTTCTATAGAATTCTATACTGGTATTCTGTAGGACTTTTTGCTAAGGGTATGTCAGTGTACTGAGTCAATGAGTGATGCTTTATCATCGCATCCACTTGATTTTTATAGTGTTCGATATGGGTAAAATTTTCTTTAATCGCATGAATATAAAACAAGAGCAACGCTACCGCTGCAATATACATCAACATTCCTGCTTTGATTGATATGGTATTTTTTAAAATTAGGGGAGAATGAAATATAAAATTCCTGCAATGACTGTAATATGATAATGACAAGATGCAAAGAAAGCTAGGTGTTGGGTTTGTTTTGCCAAAATTTACAGACTACTGATTAACAAAAAAGTGGGTGTGACATCACCCCAGGGGGTCTGGACATGCACTAAAATAAATGGTTGCTGTCTTTACGATGTAAGAATTAAATATGTCAAGTTCCATAATGATCCATTCAGATCCCACATATTTCTGCATCCCTAACACATACAATGTCATGTGGACGAATCAACTAACAAATTTTGATATTTGTGGAAGACTTAACTAGACTTTTTGTGTGGATGAGTTAACTGGCACCCCCGGACACCTAAACCAGTCAGTGAGTCAGTCTATTATTATTGCATTTCAACAATTTTTGTTACTTAATTATAACCATTATTTATGCATTGTGTGATGGTATAGAGTTTGTTCCATCATGAATTGAAATAACCATAGATATTAGAATATGAAATAACAGTATAGCCTTGATCAAGCCCATTCCATACTTTCAAAAAGAGCAGGGAACTATTAACATGGGTATTTTTAGCTGTCTGTTATTTTTGTCAATTATTGCTGTGTTTTTAGATGTTCAAACATGGTGTAAATGTCCACAAGCATTTTCTGCTTAGACTAAGCACATATAACCAATTTGATTGGCCAAGACTCTGCTTCTAATTGAGGTAGAATGTTCATATTAGCCATCATTGAAAGTCTTTGATGGGCTTGATGATGAGCCTACTAATTTGCAATGATTGCGGGCCTTTCTCCTTTAGCAATTTGAACAATCTTTTGAACACTCTAGTGGCTAAAATTATTGTAAAATTATAGCCCTGTCCATGTCCTTGAAGGTAAAGTTATTGTCAAATTGAAGTTTCACAGTATCCATGTTCATGAGAGGAGGAATCCCATTGATTTTCATCAAGGTAATTATAATGAGAAGTAGGAAGAACTATCAAATTTTAATAATTTCTGATAATTACTTCAGTTTTAAGTGTCCCAGTCATTGTTTTTTAAGGCGAGTCATCGCTCTCGAGCGCCTGCCGCTCACCCGAATGTCGACCGAGGAGAGATTTTTTTTCCCTCCCCTTAAAACTGAAAATTGCTCTCCTTTAAATAGTCATTGGGGTTTTATTATCATTTATGAAACCAGGAATGACCCCATTACATGCAGTTATTGATCTTAGAACCATTTCCCATGCGCATAACTAATCACTCTCCTTAATATCACATCACTCTCCTAAATTTCTAAATCACTCTTCTGATCAAAACTGGGAGAGTTTTTTGAGGGGAGCAATTTTTTTCAATTCGATGATTGAGGGGAGCTTTTTTTGGCTCTACTCTGAAATACAAACAACAACGACTGGTGTCCTGTAAATATTCTTCTATTAAATACAAAAGAATAGATACGTGTCATCCTTCGTAAACTGTTCTAATGACATAGCTACTGTGGGTGGGTGTGTTTCATGATCTGGCAGCCTATCTTGAAAATTAAACTTTTTCTTATCAGGTGGTAATTCTCATAGTAGTAAAAAGAACAAGAATATTAAAGATGGTATGAAATTAATTAGTACTAATAAACAAGGTGTCTGGAAAGAACTTAGACATTTACATAAAACCTATGCCATAGAAAGCAAGAAAAAGAGAAAATTGAAGAAAAAGATATCCACACTAGGTAAGTAGTAGATACCCTTTATATCTCAATGGTTTCTTCCCCTTGTCAGTGATGCAGGATGGAGGGCCTGACAAGGACAGGTGTCTAGTTGTTTGGATGGGACAAAAACCGAGGACCCGTGTACATATTGGCGTACACGTAAAAGATCCCTTGGCAGTTGGAATTCGATATAAGAGTAGGCCGTAGCGCCGCTGCCCGGGCAAAATTTCCCTCATAGCACACTGTATGGCATATGCCCATCTTCATTAGCCCAGACTAGGAGCAGAACAGTAGGACGTTAAACCCCATTTCATTTTATTTCATTTATATCTCAAATTGCTGTAAAATTATTTTTTGTCATTATTGCATTATGTGTATAATAATATAAAGTATTTTGAAAACTTTATTTGAACTGTCATTGATTTCTATAATTAGAGTATTTTCCCTATAACCTTTAAATTAAAGGAATTTAACAATTCCTTGTGATAAAAAACTTACATTTGTGTCAGAGGATGTATTTCTGAGATTTTCACTTTCACAACTGCATTTATAATTTTCAACAAATCAGCTGCCAGTTATAAATTTCTGCACATTAGCCCCAAGTACACAATGTAAAATTCTCTTATCTTTTTGTAGAAGAATACAGAGAAAAAGCAGATAAAGACCACACAAAGAAAAATGTAAAACTTTTGAAACAGGTCTCAAATGTAGGAAAAGTCAAATCTGTTTACTGTAAAAAGGTATGTTCCAAATTTGGTATGGATTGTTATACCTTTAAGATGTCGGTCTTATTATATTATGTGAAAATTATTAGATTTCTAATAGTAACTAAGTTAGTGAAATGAAGACTCCTAAAAGCAATATATTTAGCACCAATCAATAATTATTAGTACAGTTCAAAATAAATAATTGCTTCATGATGGAATCTTCCATATTTTCTTTTTTGTTAAACAATAACTTTAAAATTTTTATTTCAGATCTTGGAACAACATCAAAGAAAATTAGCTAAAGATTTACCACAAGAAAGTAGAGAAGAACCAGACAGTGTTTTCACAGATAGAGACTTTGATCAGTTCGAACAGGAATATGATTATTTTCAAAAACTTCAATAGTTGTTTGTGAAGTACATGTATATCTGTGTTATTTGAAGAAGATATTCTTGGAACTGTATCAGAAAATATTATCAGTTTCTTGAAATATCATCAAAAACAATTATGTGATGATATTTATGGAATTAAATGTTACATGGTAAGGGGAGATAAGTGCATGTATCTTTATACGTGATTTCATAGGCGTGTCAGTAACAATATCAATCTATTTTAAATAGACAATACAAGAAAACTGCACCAAGAACTAGACACAACAAACAATACAGTTATGCAGGGATCACCTTTAGATGCTGTTTGATCCAGAACTTCAAATAACTATTTCTGTCACATTATTTCAAGTGTGGGTGGAAAAATGAAATTTCATTCACACTTTAACTTAAAGCCAGTGATTGTCATTTGCATTTTTCCGGCGATATTTAATAATTTCATGACTTAACACATGCAAATTGGACTATTTAACATTTAATTAAAGATGCATTATGTAAGAACTAAATCTGCCTATTGCAGGTCTTTGTTTGGATCATTAATGTTATATACATTATTAATTAGACATTTATTAATACGACAAGACCATAATCTACTCTCGATGCTATTGGATTACTCCGATTTTAAGAAGATTAGAACGGTTCAGCCATTTAATCATTTAATTTAAAAATGGACAAGACCATAATCTACTCTCGATGCTATTGGATTACTCCGATTTTAAGAAGATTAGAACGGTTCAGCCATTTAATTTAAAAATGGAGAAGTGAGGCTATGACTCAAATGACCAGTACGGTTGTTATGATCCATGCACACATCTTGTCAAGACTACAACCCTTGATAACTTCACTCAAAATAAAGTAATTTGAATGAAATTTTCAATATATTCATTTTACATTATCTCTTTTTGAAATATAATAGCTAGAATGGGTAGCTCTTGATCTAAATCTTATGTACTGCCCCTTTAAGAAAACAAAATAAAAATGTCTACCATAGATAATCTTTTATCTTGGATTCAATCAGATTAAAAAGATTTTTACCCAACACATGTAGGTTGTGCTGACAGTTTATTATATATCCTTTTCAATTCATCATATCTTGAACTATTTTTGGACTGATATTATCTTTCACAATATGGTAGTTTGTCAGGGATTCAAAATCTCTCAAATTACAATCACTGCTTTTATTTGAGTGATTTCACCATTCATAAACCCAGTGTATAATTTGTTTGCATCTTATATTTTCAACAAAACTGATCACATGTAGTTTGTATATCTAGTAGCAGGAGTAAAAAAAAACCATATGAAATTATTACACTTTTATTAATTTTATTTACAAATACAATATAACGAAAAATAGGTCCACATTAAAAGTTCCATTGTTTAGTGTATTCAGTTTATGACATCCATCATTTATAATTCTGTTTTAATATGACAAATAAATGAATAATTCTTGACAGTAGTTTCTTCATGTGGAAATAAAAGAGATTTAAACTAGACAGTCATGAAATGAAAAAATTGTATTGGGTGATCGTATGGTATAATGCTTACGCTTTAGATCATAAATTCATTGAGTTAATCAGTTCGGTTTCAACCCAGCAACACAAAGTTTTGTACTTGACAAGGAGTAGGATCCCGTCTGCATAACCTCATGGTTTTTCTTTACGCCCTCTGGTTTCCTCCCACAGTTAAAGACACCTACATGCTGGTGTGTTGTTGAAATAAAATTGTACCATGTATTAGACACAAAATGACCTAGTTTGTGTTAACTGGACATTAAACTCCATTTCTCTCTCTTGAATTACAATCATACTGCTATTTGCGTTTCACACTGGGGTTTTTATTCTATGTAAGGGGGGTAACTTTCATGGCAAATATGACTGAACCATTGTGTAAAATTTCTGAGATAAAGGAGCTTACCTAGCATGGAATGGTAAATTACTGTTTTCAAACTTTAAATTGTCATATACCGTATATACCCACGTACAGAACCACTTTATATAAGATTCAAGATGAGTTCAAACGGTCATGTTCCATATTTTAGAATCATGGTTGTTCACGTTCAGGCGACAGCACACAGAGAACTATCTACTGTATTTCGAGAATAGATCTCTAACCTGAATGGCCACTATATCCAAAAATAACTATATTATTTTGTAATGGGGTTCTACTCTGTTTCACATCTGTAATATACACAAAGACTAAGTAAACTTTTTCAATTCCATAAAATAGAAGCAGAATAAATACTTCTCAAAATTTTGGAAGTATACTTAGTGTTTTTGACTAAAATCGTTGATTTAGGACTTCAAATTTTGGTCAACTAACTTAGTGTCTGTATCAAGTGGAGTTTAACGTCCTACTGTTCTGCTCCGAACTGGGCTAATGAAGAAGAGATAAATGAATAGAAACAGATCAACGAAAAGTCACAAATAAAGAATTACCAAATTGATATCATTTATATCCCGGGGACATTAATTATTCCACCGATAATGACAACAGCAATATGGCAACACAGGACCTGTTTTCTTTGACTTTGTGTTACTTTTGAAGATACCACATAGAATAGACACACCCCTTCTGTATCAATAAAACTGATTCAAAAAACGTTTCTTGTAGGTGGGTATAGACGTTGCACAGTAATGTGTGATTTCTGAAGGACAAAATGCTGCAAAATGTATGAAACAAGAGACCTAAAATAACTTTTTTTGAGACACACTATATTATGTGTACATATAAAATCACAGGGCGAAAAATAAATCTTTGAAGTCAAATAGCACTAGTATTGTCTAATTTAGCTTTATCTATTAGTATCCTTGAACTTTAGTTGATGAAACAGGTAGATCATCATCATGAGTACCAGAACTCTGAAATAAAGATACATAAACAAATAATTAATTGTAATAAACAAGCCTCCCGAACTATTTTCTCACTGTCTGCATTCCCCGTGTTTCATTTCTAACTTCTTTTATGTTCTGAATTTTCAGTCCATTTAAAAACAAACTAGTGATATTCCTAGAATGGACATGATCGGAAATGTAGCTCATCACTATAAATGAGAAATAGACAATAGGATGACAACTACTCTAGTGGCTGTTTCAAATAGAGACAAATATCATTCAAGAAGTTTAGATAGCAATGTCACTTCAGTTCGCACACAGAAAAAATACTTTGTGTATGAAATTAATGATCACTAAATTTCCTGTCTTTAAAATGACATTTTCAATATAATTTTATCAATATTTACTGTTGACTGACAACCAGTCTAGCAATCCTATTTAATATGGTTTGCCATCCTGATCAATAATTGTCACTCCATGAACTTCCTTTATTTATAATTATCATTGGCACGTCTTTATTCATTGTTGGTGATAAATAAACACAAACCTTTTGAACATATTGTGGATTAACTGTTATTTCTCTATCCATTTCTTTCAATTTATTATCTAATTTCATACATTTCTGCATCTGAACAAAAAAAGTAAAGTATTTGTGTAATGTACCATATCTCTGCAACCTTACCTTAATAGCATGTCTATAAGTAACATAAAAATCGAAACACAAGAAGGAATATAAACATAATACTACAACTATGCCCACCTTTGTGGGAAGTGACAAGAATGGAGAAAGTAAGCTAAATGGGTTTTTGGCACTAACATAATATGGTATATCCTATCACACACTGATATTTTATATGGGAGTATATTGTCGTCACTACTGTCTGTCTCTTCATAATAATTGTTGTAAATGCTCTACAGGTCCAAATTTTAAAAAAATTTTCCCTCAATTTGTTGGGATTGTTCAACTAGTCCTTAGGAGAAAGCACATTGATTGTAAACACTATGCACAGTTCTTCAAATGCTTTGAAATTCAATGTTTATTTAAAAAAATTTGTGCATTTGTATTTTCTAGTCAGATGAAACAGGAGTACCAGGAGATTTCTCACAATGATAAGACAGATAATCCTACTCCTTGTAACATTAAACCCAGGATCAACCCATTACAGTACTTATATAGATAACAGGCTATGAGATTACAGTGCACACATTATACCACTTTGCCAAGTCCCCCACTAACATTGACAATATAATCTCAACTTAAAGGCAGAATGAACAAAATGTCTTTTGCATACCAGTAATCTTAAAAACAGTTTGTTACTGTTGCACAAATTGATCATTTCAAATGTATTGTGCACTATATCAAATATTGATCAATTTGACCTGAGAGTGAAAATATGTTTTGCCCGTGTTCAAAATGATATGTTTACTAACCTCTTCGTCTATATGACGTAACATGGTAGCATTATTATATTCTTCTGGATTATCATGAAATCTAACCATACCATCTTTTTGATTAATTGTTGCATATATTTCACCATCCTCTATCTATAATAATGTTAACAATAATAAAAGTGCTATTCCACACTATGCTTGCAGAAAAATTAAAATACAATAATGTAATAAATGATGTAATTACTGCTGTTTTTTGTTATCTTAAAATATGTCTCTTGAAAACATACTATACTTTAGAATGTAGGTCGACATATTTAAAATGTGGTTTAACTTCCTACTGTTCTACACCGACTGGGCTAATGAATTCGGGTGTACACCATACAGTGTGCTATGAGGAAAATTTTACCAGACACCGGCGCTATGATCTACTCATATTTGTAATTCCAACTGTAATGGGGAAACCACGCTGGAAAGTTTTGAGGAACTTTCTCGGCCAACACTGAGAACAAACTTGCTGGTTAGCGAGCCAGCGCCTTACACGCTGAGCCACCACAATTTCCTATTTAAATTAAATGTAAGACTATGATATACAATGTCTAAAAATATTGCAACAAGGTTAGTTACATCATTATGTTTTACTTAAAAGTACAGAAATAGTTCATAGTTTAACGGAATCCCCTTTGGAAATATGGTCACCGTGGTTCTGCGCTAACACACTAGAAAAAAATCACAAAATATTGAAACTCAAAAGTAGTTACCATATGCAAGACATATTTTTCAGCTTCTTTTGCACCAGATAAATGAACTCTGTTTGCCATATCTGCTAATGATAGAGTTAAAAATGTCTGAAAAATAAAAATGTAAATGTGAATGACAAGCTTTATCTTTGTACTGTATATAATTATGAAGCATGGGGATGATTTTACGAATTAATACAACTTTCCATTTCCATGTGGAGTTGGTCATAAGACCCCAAATTCCATGCTATATACTTACAGTGGGTGGTAAGTTTCTTTACAATTAGCAAGTCACTGGTACAGAAGAATAATAAAATTCCTTGAATGAGTTGCATAACCTATTTAAGCAAAATCCAGTGATCAATTCCGAACTGCTGAATATTTAAGTTTGAAAAATTCAGACAAAGGCGAATAGGCTATAATTTGATATTTTGGCTTCTGATTAAGATACTTAAACCCACTTTTATTACAGTGTTCTGTGAAATCTGGGACTTCTCCTTAATTAATTTTATCAGTATTGTACCATACATTTAATCTTTAACAATTTAACAACTTACTTTTGTCAGTCTTTGAATATTTTTCTTGAATAAAGAATTGATACATTGCTTCACTAAACCCATATTTTTATCCTGAATTAAACAAAAATACTGTATGTCAAGAGCTTAAAAAGAGAAGTCACTATTACTTTATTTCAGTTTAACATAAGAAATACCAGGCAAGAGTATTTTGTCAAATATCAATTTTGTTAAATCATAACTGCATCATGCACACCAACTATCACTACTTAACTAAACTGAGTGAAGGTTTGACTTCTTAATGATGTGGAAGAATGTAACATTTGGGGGTGGGGGGGGGGGGTAATGTTGCTCAGTCAAATAACCAGCAGAGTTGTTTACATATCTAAATCTGGTAGATATACAGAATAGTAAAATACAATGACAAATTTTATCATCTGTTGTAAAAGTACTAGTATATTATAGATATAATATTGGTCAAGTCACTTCTTTGATGCTGAATGTTTAGTAACATTGTTAGCTTTTCTGAATGTCCTGAATACACGACAAACGGTATTCTAGAAACAGTAGGCATACCTGTCAATTCATGTCAAAAATGAAACAAAAAGTTTGGAGTTTAAACTCAAAAGCGTTAGTTTTTAGGTGGAGGTATGTGTTAATTTCATAATGAATAATGTTGAGTTGATCGGACCCTGTTAAATGTATTTTCACTTGTTCTTATGGATAATGTATTTGAACTTACTCTATTAATCGTTTCTGTGTGTTTAGTTACAATAGCTCTTAAATCATTAGATCTATTCCCACAATAGGCATTAGACAAATCATGATACAGTTGACATAGAGGCTGAAAACAAAAAGAGGAAAAATTTGACAAATTTCATCAGTCGAAACTAAGGTATTCAAACCACCAATAATCTCATACGTTGACCAGATTTATTCTCTATCAAAAATTTTGAACTGGCAATATTCTTCAGTAAGTACCAAAAAAAGAAAGTTCATAAATTTTTTTCTAATAGATTTATTTTCTGTTAGGTTTAGATGCTCAAGGATTGACATAAATAAATCATACCTTAATATATCTAATAACAACTTGTGATGTATATTTAGGTAGTAATGGTATCTGAAAGTAAAATGTTAAAACCACATTATATTAATACTATATCTATACGGTGTCTTGTAAGGAATTAGAGAGAGAGAAATAGGCTTTAACGTCCACTCGACACAAACCAGGTCATTTCGGGACTAAATTGGTTCAATTTTATTTCAATAATTCACTTGCGCATAGGGTTGTTAGCAGTTGGAGGAAACCGGAGGACCCGGAGAAAACCCCACAAGTTGGACAGGCGACTCTACTCTTTGTCACGTTACAACTGGGGAATCGAAACCATGCCAGTTGACTCAATGATACAGCACGCAGGCACTAACCATTCGGCCATCCAACCCCCCATAAGGAATTAGGATGCACTGTAACCCAGGTATCATTTAATCTTGTGTATCTAGCAATAATTTCTTTCACATTCGTTTAATATCAAATCTTTGTTTAAAAATTCGTAAAAATCGTTAAAAATCACCCAAAATCATCTAATTTGTACTTGTGTTCAGTTTAAAGCTGACTGATTAATTTTGATAATGAGTGTCCAATGTACAAGTATTTAATTTCCTGACCACTGTTTAAAAAATTAATCATTATACATCATTAATCAATTGAGTTGTTTATTTTTTAACAGTGATTGAGAAATTATCTGTCCTTTATCAATAAAAAATAACAATATTATCTGTCAAATATCAATAAAAAATAACAATATTATCTGTCAAATATCAATAAATATTTATACAAATGCATTATTCTGGTAATTAGTTCATATACAAGTATGTAATTTCAAGACTACACACAGAAATATAAGAAAGTTACCTTTCCATGAAGAATTAAGGCCACCAATATAAACTTCTTATATGCTTCCATCATGATATGACTTACTGCCATACTTGGAGTTGTGATGGCCTAAAATAAATAAAAGACAAATGGCTATATATGTTTATATTCTGAACTGCATAATATCCACCTATATTGAAAAAGACGTGATCTCTTTGAATTCAGCTTACTCTAATGAAACAAAGTTTAATCCTGTGAGGCTTGTGCCATTGCTACCATAGTTTTCAATGTACACATTATTTATTGACCTTCAAAGCTAAGAGCTTTTGCCCATTGAAGTTTAATAATCAGGGTCATATTCGTGTCCTCTGCCAAGACTGAGCACAAACTCAAGGGTCTTTTGATTTTGCTTATGAAAGATTTTGTTTCATCTAAATACATAATTTTGTAATGGTGTTTAACATCCACTCGACACAAACTGGGTCACTTTGGGACTGACATAGGGTTCAATGATTTTCATCATAAATGAACAATAGTGTAAATACTCAATTTTCTGGGGATTAAACTATACATACAATTTCAAAGAAGTACAGAGATCTGTCATATTTTTTCAGAGCTGTGTAAATCATTCCACCATAATAATAATATTGTAAAAAATCTTTGGCATCATACTGACCACCCTAAAAATACAAAGATGAATAAAATATCATTATTAAATAGTGTGAAACAAATATGCAAAATACCAAGTAGGTCATTGAAAATATTTTTTTAAATTCCTGAATTTAACTCAGAATATTAAGTCTGTTTTCATCCTTACCACTAAATGGGGGATTTTTTTTAAATATTTAAAATCATCTGGGTAAACTTTGACTTTGCTCATGCCAGGGATAACATTGTTTTCTTTTATTAATATTTTGGTTGCATTTACTTTACATAAATTCCTGAAGCGTTCAATTTTTTTTGCTTTGTAATAAACAGTAATCTTATTTCGTAGCATTCTTTTCTGCGTATATGTCCAGTTAAATTATCAAATGCCATTGAAACAATTTATTCGATTTATTCTGTCTAGGAATCTAGCCAATGAACAACTAGTTACAAGACTTACCTCTTTACTGATATCTGTAATATCAACTTCTAAAAATTCTAAGGCTGGTTTCATATTTTTAGACAACAGACACAGCTGTAATGAAATAGAAATAGCTATATTGTAATAATAAAATACTTCTCCTCTACATTGTATTAATAATGTTTTTCCTCAATAAAATGATTAATCTATATTTTATTTCACTATTAGTATTATGGGTCCATTTAATACCTACACTATTTTGCACAATTTTTGTTAAAAGCACATTTTATCAACTAAGTTTTAAATATTGTATTTATTACACTCTTAGAATGCCAGAATCTAAGATGATGTGCTACCTATTGGCACTATTACATTTTGAATAACACACAATATTACTTAAAACATTAGAAAACCATGACACATTTTTTTAAAAACAATATTTTATTCAGATTTTGTATCTGAATAGAGATGGGGAAACTGGCATACCCTTTATCTAAAATTAACTAATTGTTCCACCCGTGTATTGTTATAGATTGAAACAGAACTTACTTGACAAAGATCCGAGTGAAGGGAAGTCAGCTGTGATGGAAAAAGTTGTATCTTTCGAATCGCCTTTGATAAGATGGCAATTCCTCTTAATGGCTGAAAAATATATTGGCATTTTACTTCAGTTTTTTAATTAAGTTTTTTTTATAAATATCAGTTATAGTAATTACATTGTTTATTTTTTTTTCTGATAACAATGAATTTGTAAAATTACTTACAGTTTTTCGTTCAATTAGCTGATGTGTAAATTTATGACTCAAATCAGCAACTACAATCAAAATTAAATAATTATTAATAAACAACAAAAAAAATCATTCACAAGATGATAAAATAAACAAAGTGCATAAAAAATATGTTTGTCAAATTTCGTCTTCTAAATGTCATTCAAAACTTCTTCTTAATCTAATTACGGTACTCGACTACTTGGGGATTTTATTTCAGACAATTAATTACAAAATTCCCTTGAACACATGTAAATACCATATTCCAACGACTTTCACGTTTCACAGAAATATTTATTTGCACTTACAACTTTCTGTCGCATATCGTACTTGTTCTCCATTACACATATAAATGAATTCTTGTGTTTGGTGAAACAGCATCTCAAAATCATGTATGTTTGGCATATTAAACTTCACACACCTTTTGAAAAAAATAAAAAATAAACATGTTTTAGTTTGTTTACATACTGGGTACAAATACATAAATTTATTCAAGATAACAGCAATTATTAAACAATCTTTACATTTCACATAACAAATGTAGCTCCTCTTGCAACATTATCTGCTCACATGATTTCTATGTACGATACGTAATCTTTAAGTGGCATAAAGTATATAGATTTGTGAAAATAACTCATACATTTACACTATAAAGTAAACCAATATCTATTTGAATCCACCTACAATGAATTTGTTTTGCACTTTTTCTGTAATAAGTAATAAGCTTTCCCCACCATTGAACAATTTTTTAAGTACACATCTCAAATAAGGTCATTACTAAATGCAGTAAGAAATCAAGTGTACATTCCGCCAATCTGATTAAAACATAGATCTTTATTGTTTCATTTTTATAGTTCAAAATTTTGTTTACTTGTCGTCACTACACTCGGATCTTGAAGAGTTGTTAAATAATCTGTGTTTTGGTTGATGTGAGGGATTAGCCATCCAAATGGTGTGTGAGTCGAGATCTTATCTTCTGTCACGCGGAACTGTGGGCAGACATTCGCAGCGATAGACAACAAATCAAAGCAAACATTGTATTTCCAAATACCCATTTGAAACACTGACTGGTTAATCGAGTGACTGACACCATAGGGTCAAAGGCCGCTCATATGATCCCTGATGTGACCTCCCATTACAACCGGTCAGATCTTCATGTAGTGGAGGCCATGAAAAGTATATATATATATATATAAAATATATAGATCTGTATTTTAATCAGATTGACATTCCGCAGAAGTGAATGTAATTATACATAACTACCTTACACTTAACAATAAGTTAGTTTTCTTTTATATAGGCTTAATACTTACAGTATTCCCAGAATTCCTAGGGAATGTTGCTGCACATTAAGTGTTCCCATGACATAGTCCAAATGATGAATGTGTTTGGTCAGGGCATCAGCACTTTTAGTTATGAATTCACATAATTGAGCGAAATTTCCTGAATAAAAAAGGATGAATTGTAGTATGTTAGAAATAATCTGCATCTGGATTAAATGTACATAAAAATATTAAACAATATAAAACACTGCTGTGAGAACAAATTTGGCACATTCAGCAGCAGACGTTTGACATACACAGGTAACCCTACATGTGTCTAATGTCAAGTCAGTAAAGCGTAAACTATATATGTATACCTAAAACTGGCCTCGGTTTGGGTCGAATTTTGGACTTATAACGATATTAAAATTATATTTATTACAGTCTAGATGTCAATTTGGTATTATGTAAATGATATGTGCTGGCGGTCCATCCATCTGTTTCGACTGCAAACAACACCTGTAGCGCAATTTCAGTTCATTATATTACTGGGTACTTTGTAGTTTGTCTTTAATTTAAACAGTCATATCATAGTCTTACAAAAGAGATTTGCCTAATCCGAAATTACAAGATATTTAAACTGGCATGGACTTGGACTAATTTGAAAAGTAATATATGAATGCCATTATAGTCACAGTCTCCAAACTAGCAGTCAGTTATTTGAACACAATTTTGTTTCACAAGAAATGCATGGGAATTTGTCACCGGTATTACGAATTTACGTAGTAAATTATTACGAACATGAGTCAATAAACACCACTTATTATGTTCCAACTACTGTGTATGAAGCCCGCCTCAGAAGAATAGTGTAACCATTTCTTAAATTTCTCACAGAAGGATAAGTATGACTTAAATATATGCAGAAAAATAACAGAATTATACCTTGGGTTGAATAATTTTGGACAGTATTTACATACTGCTCCAAAGTGGACGACATCTTGATGCAGAATGCAGTCGCTTGAGTCAATAATGCAATAGTAATACTTCCGGCTTTAACTTCGAATAATTTTAGGCTTTCTTTCACTACAAGCAAGTGGTAGCAGTAATGAGTATTCCCATTAAATTAGTTATAAGATTATTTATGTCCTATTATTTATGTAGAAAAAAAAAAAAATTCTTACGATGTTATAAGCGGACTTGTTGAGTTATCTCCCTTTGACCACAAACTCATTGAGGAAGCACAGGCTGACACAGGTTGCTTCTTGTTGTGAAACTCAAGACATACAAATGTATAGCAGGTTCATGATTAAATATTGAATATGTTTATTCATTGACAGTTACAAATTCCAGTTATATTAATTATGGTGTCAGATAGCGGTTATGTAAAATACCTGCCTTTTCATTAACATGACAACACAACAAATCATTAACCATTTTCAAGAAACTTTAGCATATATCCATAGCCATAGCCTGCCATAGGCTCTGTTTAGTTTACTTACAATAATTGCACACTTGACACTGTCTTGTTTTGTACATTATGATGAGGCCGTTCCGTTGTCCTCTTAGTAGGCCTACTGTGCTGGTAATTGACCGACTCTTGTAGAAAATAAGCTACCGTACATGAGGATTAGCTACGAGAAAACACCTAGGTATACTGATGTGTTTGTTTTTAGCTACAATTGCATGCCTTTATTTTCACCTGGCAAGCTTAACTTCTTTATTGATGCATGTAACATCTTAAAAATAAGTTAATTTTATACCAGTAGGAATAATTAAACATACCTGGTCATTGATAATTGCTGTGCTGTAGTCAGTGCGACCTTTCTTGTAATTTTTTTTTTTTTTGAGGGGGGGGTGGGGGAAGGATGGCCGAATGGTTAGCACGTGCATGCTGTATCATAAGAGCTGTCATTGAGTCAACCAGCGTGGTTTTGAATCCCCGGTTGTACGTGACAAGGAGTAGGGTTGCCTGTCCAACCTCATGGGTTTTCTCCGGGTCCTCCGGTTTCCTCCCACTGCAAGCGAATTATTGAAATAAAATTAAACCAGATGTTAGTCCCAAAATGACCTAGTTTGTGTCGAGTGGACGTTAAAAACCCCATTTCTCTCTCTCTTGTAATATTAAGTAGCGTATTTGATTGGCTGTTGTACACATATATCATGATGTAAAGACGTCAAACCTAATAAATTTTAGAATGTCGGTCAAAACCAGCTTTTAACATTTCAATTTAAAAGAGATAATTTGTACCCGTGTCAGGTAGGATTATATGCATAATTGTAGTTGGATATGGCAGAAATGTAATGAAGAAAAAATTGACAGTTTTACTTATTGAAGTACAATTTGATCCACATCGAATTTTGCCAGAAGGAAATATATTGCACCATCTCTTATCTCGAAGCAAGCATTGTCGAGAGATGAGGTTTCTTGTCTACATGAGGATGAGCTCCGAAATATTCCAGAGTATCCTAAATATAAATAGCGATCTAATTACCAAACCAGCAACCAAAATGAGACAACTAATAAGGTCAGGAGAGCGATGGGCTACCACCCCCCGTTTTCTCACTACAGGTACGGGAAAAACAATGCTCATTCTAATAAACAATCTATGAATCCTAGGTCTATATTATTATTGAGTATATTGCTATATTGAATGAACAGTCCACTAGGTCTACCGTAAATGTTTCTTTTCTTCTGATAGTCTAACAATGTAAAATTTACAGTTCACATGTTTAATTATTGCCTAAATTGCAAATTTAATTTCAATAAGTATGAAGAACTTATTCGCAACACCCAAAAATTCACAAAAAACTTGTGTGTTTATGTCCCATGGGAAAAGTAACCAAAAATGATTTAATGGTTTAATGAGTTCTTTAGTTGTCTCCAAGGTGAGCACATTACACAGTTTGTTGTCGACAAAAGGACAACTTGAGTGATCATATCAAACATGTCTAATACCTGCTACCATAGCGACCGGGTGCACACACTATGAGATTTTTAGATTTTTCATTGTCGTTTACAGTGATCGCCTATATCGTCGTGTAGGGTGCACTAGGCTTAAGGTACTGGGTCGCTAATCAGGCGGTCCGAGTTTCAATCCAGGTGTTGGCCAAGAAAACATATCCAGTGTGGTTTTACCTCGTCAAGCAGCGTCATAGGACGAAGTGCCTGGCAAGGAACAGCGTCTAGTTATTCGTATGGGACAAAAACCTGAGGTCATGTGTACATGTTGATGTGCACATAATAGAACCCTTGACAGTTGGAATTCAATTGCTGTCCCAACACAATTCCCCTAACAGCTCACTGTATGGCGTATGATCATCTTCATTCGTCCAATTGGTACATAAAGGTATGACTTTAAAGTTTAAAAACCCCATTTCATTCATTCATTCAGAGCCATGGCATTTTCTCAAAAGACCTATTCATTGTATTGATTTTACTGACATATTTTTGGACTATTAGAGATATTTAAACTAGTGTACTAACACAGATTATCACAATCTTTTGAACCTGCTATACCTCTGTACTAGTGTCTTAAAAAGCCAATATACGTCACACATTTTTTCCGCTGCATCTTTTGTATTTATTTATAAATTCAGATAAAATGTCAAGAAGAACCAAACAACATTATGATTATGGACAGAAAAATCTCTGTGTGCTCCTAGATTTAGATCAAGTCCTAGCTGACTTTGAGGGTCATTTTATCACAAAATTTAGAGAAAAATTCCCAGATGATCCGTTTGTGCAATTAGATGAAAGAAAAGGTTTCTACATCAAAGATCAATATGAAAAACTGGATGGAAATCTAGGGGTACGGTATATCAAATTCAAATACAGATACTTTAAAACAAGAAATTATTCGAAATTGTTACTTTAAATTTGACTGACCACCAGTGACAGCACTTGACTCATTGAGACCTTAATGTCTAAGGTGCACACGTTAAATCATTAAGCCACCAATGGCTGTATGTGTTCAGGTGGGGCCGAGGGGGGAATTTAGTTTTTAAATTTAAAATAAAAGTTAAGACTATTATTATTATTTTATTTTTTGTGTTTTTCCTGCAAATCATATATCTTTCTGAAACTTTAACTTACTCCTCTTTGAATTTCGTCTTTGAAGTTTTTCATGCCGACAAAGTTGCTTTTGGGACAAATTTTTTTAAACCTTTTTAAAATTTAAATAAATATGTCTTTAGATTAGTTTTAAAAGTAGCAATAGCTCTGACGAATTTGAATTAGTAATTTATTCCATAACAGTTGTACCTGTACATAGACCGACCGGTAACCGTATGATAATAAATTATATGAGTGCTGTATAAGTAATGATGTGGGAGAGGATAGCAGATTTCTTTTGAATTTATAGTTTTCAAGAAGCTCAGAAAGATAGGATGGGGCCATTAGGGTCAAAGTATTCAGGCATTTAAACACAAGTAACAATATTTTGTATTGTATTCTGTATGCTGTTTTCATGAATCATTGAAGAAAGTGTTTTAATTTTATCATTTGCACCTTGAGGAAAATCTAACAAAAATATTGGAATTGATTTGATAAAGATGATTGTACCTTTTTTTTATAATTTGAAAGGATAAGGTGAGAGCTGTCTATATTGAAAAAGGGTTCTTTCTTGATCTTCCTGAAATTAAAGGAGCAATATCTGCTGCTAGAGAAATGGCGGCAACGGATGGGTAAGTGCAAATAATTTTATGTATTTATTAGATTTAAGGATGCTTGTATTTATTGTAATGTGGCTGACATGGAAAATGTTACTTAGTTCATTGGATGTCATGAAAAACCAAGATCCAGTGATGTGTTGATTTGTTGCATGCAGGGTAGCAGGATTTACCCCAGTCTACTCAAGTCAACCTTTCTTTCAACTCATATCAATAATTTATATCAATATTTAATAATATACTGTTCTTTATGCATAATTGTCATTTTTAATTTGAGATTTCCAAGCAAATTTGGAATTTGTAACCAAATCTGCCATTATTTTGTGTTAAAAATGCCCCTCAAAATGCAATTTCGAAGTCAGTTTGGAAATTGAAGGCTAACTAAGTGGACATAACTCGTGTATTACAAGAGCTCACTTGCTTGCAAATCGCATTTTGAGGGTAGATTTGGGTAAAGAGTGCTCCCAAAATGTACAGCATTGACATGTTTATTAGTTATTTTACAGATTTGATGTGGTTTTTTTACTCTTTTTGGGACACTTGAGCTAAAATGTTCAATCTAGGTGTGTGTAGATGTTCATTAGATCAATGTTTTGACTAAGTTCGATGATAATTATTTTCTGACTATATTGCAGGGTTGATGTGTTTATATGTTCAAGTCCCCTAACAGAATATCAATTTTGCTTACCAGAGAAGGTAATTATTTGAAGATATTTTTATTTTTAGATTTTGTTTCAGTTTTTTTACTCCATCTTGCCCGTATTTTGGATAGCTGTTAATGTGTTACTTGGCTTTAATTTATGCATCTGGAATTTAAAACGGAATAATAATTCTGAAATATATTCCATACAAATCGGCCCATTCGAAATTATTTTGTGATCTGATTAATTAATTTGTAATAATGGTCTCTTAATTAACCCAGTAAGCTTTACTGTTTATTTTCAAAATATGTATGACCAGTCTAGTTTGGTACAGTGTCAGATGATGTTTGTTTACGTGCTTTGGAAAAATAGTGCAACTTTCAGTGAGCGATTTAGAAGGGGGAGCACTTCAGATGTGTGACCCCAATTTTTAATTACCAACTTCTTGTAGCCACCCTAACCTACATCTTGATTTTGAAAGCAAATGGACAATCGGTTATAAATTTTATGTCAATTCACTCACTATAAATGTTATTGATATTCTTCAGTTTGAGTGGGTTGAAAAGCATCTAGGTCCAGAATGGTTAGATCGTATTATCATAGCAAAAGATAAAACAGTTATAAATGGTCATATATTGATAGATGATAGACCTAGAATTAATGGTAAACACATTAATAATATTATTCTCTTTGTACAATTCTGCTGTCATCAGTCATTGATTCTTATTATTTTCCTCTATTAATATGCTTATATTAATTTATATAAAAGCCTACTCTTCAAAAAAAGTAGGGGATATTCAGAAACAATACAAAACTGCGGAAATGCACTGCTGTTTTTATTAGAGGTAACCAGTGTATGTTAATAACATGCCAATTGCCTACACACGAACATAAAGAGTTCATATGTGCGGCTTATCTGACGGTCCCATTTCACTCGAAAAGAGTTACCCACGTCAAAAGTGAAAATGGACGTTTTTGATTTTTGTCTTAATAATGAGTAATTGCTCCACCAATCCTCAGATATTCAGCAATTCGTCTTGGCATGCTCCTAATCAACCATCAAATCACGATTTGGGGCAATCTGACCCACTCCTCTTGCAGTGCCACGGCCAATTCTTGCAGTGTTGTCGGTTGACGTTGACGAACACGTCTCCCGATCAAATTAAACGTAACACACTAAAGCAAAGATATACGCTAAACAGTAAATCTTATGCAAGAACCGATAGAAAAGCAAACTTGGATAGATAAACCAGCACGCAGCAGTTTTCATCAACCCTTCCTTGAAGTGTCAAATTTGACAATGAACCCCTCCCACGTGTATAAGCGCTATTGCGTGTCGCATGTGCAGCTCAGTGGTTCTGTTGGGGCGATAACTTCATCATATGTGAACATGCTCTCAAAGCATGTCAAATGTCCATGGCTATTTATCATATCGCAACCTGCATAGGTATTTGCATTTCATTATCCCCTACTTTTTTTGAAGAGTATATTAATTTATAAAATAGCCTAGAAGAACATTTATTTCCATATTGTAAATATATTGTTGGATTAGTTAACATAACAGGGAATTTTGTTTACATTTGTTTCTAATATTAATTCAAAATTTTTACAGGAAGTTGTAAATCACCAACATGGAAACATATCATTTTTACTGCTCACCATAATAGACATATAGAAGGCCGACAAAGATTAGATAACTGGACAGATGGTACATGGAGGGATATTTTAGAAGATTTTAAAAAAAGGATATGATTTTCTAGCCACAATTCTGTACTAATTAGTAGAGTTTAAGCTACATACGGTAATATATTACGAGTATCAGACTGAAAGTCAGATATTTTATATTACTGATCAACATTCCAAATTTCATTAAAATCAGACCCATTTTTCAGCAAATTACCAGTATCTATTCCCCCCACAACTTAAATTTTCTTTAACTCTTCCAAAACTGTTTTGTTGTGAGTTATATGTTGTTCTCGATAATATGCATGTACCTGTATATAAGAAGTTAAAAACCCTAAAGATGATAACCATAATAATTTGCTTGTCATCCATCTACATTGTGAAAGGAGCCCAATTAAACAAAAAAAATGAATCCAAAAACTCAGCTGACGAGGAAATTTTTTCTAGTAAAAATGAAAAGTTGACTTTTAATCTTTAGGAAGGGTAGTGTAGTTCAAAGTTCTCATCCTTTTTCATAAATTGATGTAAGATCTCATATGTAATAGGTGAATAGAGTCAAACTTTCTTTGAATCAGCTTCATCCTGACAAATCATGCCAAGTCATCAGTCTATAGTTGTCAAGGTTACACAGTGACAACACCACATATCCTATAGCTGTCTGGATAAAGATGTACATAGGCACATTTTGCAAGAAGCAATTAGACAACTGAGTGTTGTCAATGGCTCTGCTTAATACACTCCAGGTGTAGTCTTGAGAAAAGAAATAAACGTTTACCTGTATATTGTTTTAGTCAAAACCCACAAGAGTTTACTATTATTAGAAACCCCTTCTTCTCTCGACAAAATTTTTAAATTTCTGGATCTGTCCCAGTAGTTAAAAACAAACTACATAAGTTAATTAAATGTGAAGTTTATTCGTATAATAAAGCTAAACTTCTACTGATAATTCATTATTTTAAAATTCAACAACATTATGATTATTTCGCCATGAATGATTAAACTTGAATATTTACATTACATGAAGCTCTTGTATGATAAAGATCCAGTGTTTCATTTGAACACATTCATTATATGTACCTCATGAAAGAATTTCAAAATTCATGTACATTATTGTTAAAGAGGCATTATTCAAGAGCTAAATCTGCCTATTGCAGGGCTTTCTTTAGGCCTTAAATGTTATAGAAATGGTTAGTTATTAACATGACAACACAATAATCAACCCTCTATGCCATCGGATGGCTCCGATTTTAAGTACATTAGAACAGTTTGGCCATTTAATGATTTAATTTAAAACTGGAGAAGCGAGGCTAACCAGCACCTTTGTTAAGATTATAACTAATCAATGCAAACATTGATAACATGGTTCAGAATAAAATAATCTGAATGAAATTTTAAACTATTATAGCAAGAACATCCAGTTCTTTATCTAAATCTTACATAATGTATCTTTAATAATATCTATGTACATTTTAATTGTTAATATCTAGATGCAAATAGTAAGATATAAAATAGTAAAAAAATGTAATTATTATACGATATTAAAAATAATTTGTCAATTATAGTGAAACTAAAGCTATAATTATTATAAACAACATCTGATTTAAATAAGATGTCAACATTTTGTTATATTGTAATATACATTAAAATCTGACATATTTTCTTTGTAAAGGTTTTTAAGATTATGTGAGCTTCCTGACAAATCAAATTGTCTGCACAGTACTTCACTTAAGTATGGGAAATAGTAGATACTATAGTATATGTTGTACTACATTAACACATCATGTGAGCATACTGACAAATCAAATTGTTTGTACAGGGCATCGTTTCTTTGTGACATATTGTAATTTCTTAACATAAGCATGATGGTTTAGGGGTTGTAGCATGGTTGGAAAAACTGACACTACAAGAACACTGTTGTGGTAGAAAGTATTTTAGGTTACAATGAATTATAATAATCAGAAAAAATAAACCAAACAAAGTTGTAATCTAATTTAAATAGATTAGATAAACATGGAAGATATTGGTACATGCATATAATTAATTTATAAATTTTAATTCCTCATAGTTGTAATATTTTTTATATACATTATAATATTGTGCACTTGTGTTGTTAAATCATACATTATAGGAAAGACTTTTTTAAACTCATTATAAAATTCAACAATAATATTAATAATAATGGCAATTATAATGTGAAGAATTCCACACTATCAAGGCGGATAATCAAAGCACTGCCCATTATTAGACCTGAGAAATATATTAAGATTTATATAAAAATAAATAATATATCAGTACTTAACTGATATAATTACATAACAGAATTTGTACCAAAATTAAATAAGACAAAATTGTTTTTAAGGCACATAAATATCTGATGAAAATCATGCGTCTGAACTGTATTACAAGGTGAAACACTAAATTGCACTTATCAAATAGAAAATCAGTATAAAAGGAAAATTATTTTTGAAAATAACTGAAATGTGCATGCCAATGTAATTCTTTTGGAAGAACAATTAAGCAATATTTTGAAGAATTGTATTGGTATTATGATCAAGTCCAATATATCACAGATAAAAATAGTTGCAATATTCATTTATTCTCTATAGATTGCGACTGGTATTTTGTCTTGATAAACCACCCTTTTTGATGACATCATTAACTCTAGCAAGGAGATACTGTCGATCTTTACCTTCCTGTAAAAGGATAGATGCAGTTATTAAAATGCAAATTATATTAAATTGTCAATAGCGATCAAAGAATAATTCAGTTAAAAAAAATCTCATATATGGGAAACTCAGTTGAATTTTCCAGATCCTAATTCTATCAGTCCTGCGAAAGGTGTCAGTTCAGTAACATGAGAATTTCAGTCAACAAGCCCTGAACAAGACATGGCCCAACTGAGCACAATATTATTCACTTTACGAGGTAAAACAAGTTCCCTGTGTTTTATCATTACATTACAATTCCACCAACACCACTTTTACAGTTCCCATAATATACAATCTTTTAAAGAGAGAAATATCATACCAGTTTTAACTGATCTTTTAATAACTCTTGTTTTTTCTGGTAGCCTTGTGCTGCTGCCCAATATCCATACATGACAAGACTAAAACAGAAAATAATTTTAAGTTAACTCATAAATGATAATCGTAATAAGAAAGGCATGCCTGTATGATACAAATGGGACTTTGTCAGAATAGTTATTTTAAAATATACTCAGCCAAATTAAAAACTTGACACTCAGGATTTTGGTAACTATTTTAGTGTTATGTTGTGCACAGACGACCTTGACATCAACAGAAAGCAAGACTACGTCTCGCCGAAAGGCCTTGACAATGATAACATTCGTGATGTCACAGTACCCCCCAAAATGAAATTCACAGACTTGGAGAACAATTGGAATAAAGTGTTTAGTAACGGTTGTGGCCTCCTCTAGTGTCTCGTACTGCCACACAACGTATTCTCATGGATCTCAGAACATTAGTAAACACTACCCGAGGAAGACGTCGCCACTGCTCAGCAAGAGCATGTTGAAGGTCCTGCAACGTCAGTGGTGGATTCACTTGCTTACGAACACGTCGACCCAGTTCGTCCCAGATGTGTTCAATACGATTAAGGTCGGGGCTAAGCGACGGTCAATCCAGGACTTGGACACCGGCATTTCTTAAAAAATTCTGGGTAGCAATTGCTGTATGGGGTCGAGCATAAACGGAAGAAGAACAGGTTACAAAATCTGATCCCTGTACTGGACAGCATTTAAGTTCCCTTGGACAACAACAAGAGGAGAACGTCCATGTGCACAAAAAGAACCCCAAACCATGACGCTGCCGCCACCAAATCGGTCAACTTCTCTGACGCATACTTGAGCGTAACGTTCACCTCGTCTGTGGTACACTTGGGCCCTGCCATCGGCAAATCTAAAAGTGAATCAAGATTCGTCACTAAAGACAACCGAATTCCACTGTCTTTGAGTAAATCTTATGTGTCTTGTGGCCCACACAAGTCGGTTACGGCGATGAAGAGGTGTCAATATTGGTCCATTATAGGGCCTCCGAGCTCGAAGACCAGCAGTCTGCAAGCGATTTCGAACAGTTTGTGCAGTTACCCTTCCACCAAACATCTCTCTACTTGTGGAGGTTGCAGTGACAAATCTGTTTCTAAGATGACGTAATCGTATTGCTTGATCTTCCTGGAGTGACATCAAACGTGGCGCTCCCGCCCTTGGGCGGTCGGCAATAGTTCCAGTTGGAAGCACTCTCATTCTAAGATTAATTATTGTCTGGCGTGAACAATTAAAGGCTCTTGCAACAGTGACCACAGACTGACCAGCATAGAGCCTACCTATAGCACGTAGACGTTCTACATTTGAAAGGTGCAGCATTTTCTAACAAAAATGAAAATAACAATTTTAATTTGTTTTTCCAGTTCAAGTTACGTGTGCGTGTTCAGTTTAAGAAAACTTGCATCGATTGACCTCACGAGTTTGTGTTTGCACGTGTTTTTCAGGTGTTTCATCTTTATGAAATTAAAGGCTTCTTACTACCTACCATCGTTAGAAACACTTTAAAATTTATTTGACTTACCAGAAAAAAAAAATTGTTGAAATTCATCAGTGTCAAGTTTTTAATTTGGCTGAGTATATAAGGACCTAAATTGTGCTGAGTTTTTGATCACTTGTCATACAGTTTCCCAAAATATATTAATCTCATTGAAATAGGAAGAACACTACCAGTTAGCAGTGTTGAATGAGACGGGGGTGATTCCAGACAGAACTTGATAAAAATAAAAATGCGTCCTCTGTCCTCATTCGATCTACATAAATGGTTAAAAAGTGGAAATGTATTAAATCATGACAATTGTATGCAGATACAACCAGTAGTAAATTGGTCAGAATACAACACCAATACTAATTTATGATACTTTATGTGATTTTTGAGTTTATTTTTATGAATATACTTTGTTATTTTTATACATTGACCTGTACTTACAAATAAAATATTTTTAAATAAAACAAATATATATATTTACTTGTCGTTTTTATCTAACTAAATTATGGCAACCGCTTGGTAGGATGAAAGTAATGGGTATATTTGTCGATAGGATGAAAGTAATGGGTATATTTGTCGATAGGATGAAAGTAAAGGGTATATATGTCAATAAATAAGTAGTAAAGGGTATATATGTCGATACTCAATGGGATGAAAGTTAAGGGTATGTATGTCGATAGGATGTAAGAAAAGGGTATATATGTCGATAAATGAATAGTAAAGGGTGTATATGTCGATAGGATGAAAGTTAAGGGTATATATATTGATAAATGAATAGTAAAGGATATGTATGTCGATAGGATGAAAGTTAAGGGTATATTTGTCGATAGGATGAAAGTTAAGGGTATATTTGTCGACAGGATGAAAGTTAAGGGTATATTTGTCGATAGGATGAAAGTTAAGGGTATATTTGTCGATAGGATGAAAGTTAAGGGTATACCGGTATATGTCAATAAATGACTACAGTTATGCAACTGCAAAGGTATTGTTTATTCAAAGTTTTAGGTATTGTAAATCAGAATAGGTGATGCAATTATTGTCGGGAATAGAGTCTGGTATAAAAAAAAACATGTCTGTCTTTGGAAAGACGACCATCTGTTAAAAGTGGCTGGTTGATATTAAAAAGAACCCTGCTGTATACACATTATATATAATAATCAATGCTCTTTTTAAGGACGTTAAGTAGTCTAAGATATGCACTAACTTTTCAAAACCAATCTTATTAAGACTTTGCACACTCGTTCCATGTGTAAAATAACACTGAGGACACATAACATTCAGATTGTTTGTTTGATAAAAATGGAGATACAAGTGGTAGAAATTTTTTTTTATAGCAAACAATAAGGTTTCCCGGACCTAGACGACGAACACATAGTTCACCTCAACCGCAGTAAACAATCATTGCCGCCGCCAGCTGCAGTTTCACACTGGATCATTGACGTCTATAATGACGTCAGAAAGAATTCCCACTAAGATGCGATTATATAGGTCTACCATCTGTCGCAACTGGAACATGACTTAATTTCTCTTTTTGATGGTCGAAAATGTATAAAATGATTTTAAGGGTGACAGAGTAGTGCACTGAAGTAATTATTTACTTTTACATCCGAATAGTTGTTTTTTAAAACTTGCCGACGTATTCAAAGAATTAATCCAAAATCACAAAATCTCGTTTAAGTATTGTTTAATGGTCGAGAGCGAGACATTACGTAATATATTAATACTGCACGAGGTGTTAGCAGAGTGTTGTTTCAATATATTATGCAATGTCTTTAGCTCAAGACCATTAAAAATCTTAAAATACAGACACTATACCGCACATGCTTTTCAATCAAATACGTCACGCGGGTCCAATATTTCATCTAGTATAGATAATGTACGATTGGCAAGTTGCCCGTACATTATTGGAAATAATGGTATGCCAACATCAAAGGATGACGTCACATCTGTATTTTAAAGGTAAATAATGAACAAAATTTTTAAAATACTTTGAGTAGATATTTTTAAACGTTTTTGGTGTCAGAATGTCGCTTATAACCTCTACTTTCAATCCCAGGAGCGGATTATCAATATCTCGTTTTAGCATGTACTAATAAAATTACCGAGAAAACTCATCCTTTTTTGGCGTTTTCATGGAAACCAGACAAACCACAGCCTACAGAAAAATTGTTTTTTACAATTGCAATTAGCACTGTTCATGCCAAAATTGACAAAAATCCATGCAGGCATAACTGATGAAATTCGACTTTAGTTGTCATCAGCGGCCTTTATTACCTTGCTTTTAGGCCAAGTTTGGAACATAGTTGGTAAATAAAATTGGTTTATCAACCCAAATAACAAAAAGAATCATATTTTATGAACAAAATTTAAAGTGCTAGCTTTAAAATGTAAATTTTAGACTGCCACTTTGACTATCTTCTATGCCAGAGAATTTTAAAAATATTCAATTTTTAGTCATCTTGTGTCAAAAACAGGTTTTACTTCATAAAGGGAGACAAGAACTAGTCATATTTTTGGAATCGATTTACAGATTTGATTGTAAAACAGAATAAACTAAATCGCTTACCATAAAAGAATCATTGCAGGTATAAAAAAGCCTACAGTCCCCATAAAAGAAAATATGGTTTCTGCTATGGGTGGCCATGTTGCTATTTCATCTCTAATAACATCAAACATATAATAGTCTGAACGTTTACTATATACACGGAATGGACCACAGCTCTGTGACGGTGGAATACTGAAAATTACAATCAAACAAAATTTCTTTAAAAAATCAGAAGAATGTCTCAAAAATCCCCACCTCCACTTTTAAGTTAACACTTCAATCACAACATTCTAAAATCTGAAACCATCCTCAAATGTCACTTTAGTGGAAACCAAGACTAGATAGCCAAAGCAGTAATGGGACAAACCCAATCAGACTAAGGAACTAGAATTGTTTGTTACATATTTTGTTGCTTACAATCCATTATTTTGAATCAATTGTTTGAGGTTATTAGCTACCCAGTTTTTCCACTAGTTTATTCAAAATGCATATTGGTAATGGCAATACCATAATTTAAAATTTATTTTTAAATACCATAACTGATACTTACTTTCCTAACATATATCCTAATGGCACAGCAGCCAATATGAATGATATTAATAATACTGTCATAAAGAAGGAATTGGATCTTGATGCTTTATACGGCCGTTTTGTAGGAACACAGTTTTTAATAAGAGACAACTGAAAATAAAAACATACAACATCAATGAACAAGTTTCTGGAAATTCAACATAATGAGTTTATGAATAGATAACTGGAAGATGTCTCCGTGTGATTGAAACATTTGACTTCAGTGAGTTTATAAATAGATCACCAGACGATTTCACTGCTAGATTCAAACAAGTTCATAAATAGCTCACCGGACGATGTTTCCACATGATTGAAACAGTTGACTTTAGTGTGTACATAAATACATTAATATTAAAGACAATTAGGTTGTCAGGGTGCAATATAATATATACATACCTTTTTAACATAAAATACAATGAAACATTTTAACATCGTTATCAGCGGGATTAATGGACAGAAGAACATTCCTAACCTGAAAAGAAATAAAATTGTGAATTAGTAACCGGTGGTATTACAATGGTTATTTGCAATTGCATGTAGGTCTGTTTGTTTATTCTTGATTAATAAATTGATTTAAAGGCTCAATACCACTCTTGTTGTAACTGAATAATATGTCCCAATCTTTATTCTGGTCAACAAATTGTACTATTTTACAATATTCCAATTAATTGATGATATAAATTTCATCTTAACACACCTAATTTTCTGGAGCTGTCAAGCCAGCAAGAGTGTTATTGTCCCTTTAATATTTTTTTTAGTAAACTTACCAACATAAAGTTTGGGAGTATACAATATCTAAAACATTTTTAGGTAGATCAAACTCTTGTTCTCCAATAAGTTCTATAATTTTTTTATCTTTGTATTTTGTATAGATTAATCTGAAAAATATAAATAGTCAGAAGTTAAAAGTCTCTGACCATCACTTGAGGTATTTTTAATCTGATAAAATCCTTGCTTATGTTAAATAATCAATTTGAGTATATTTTAGCATAGATGAAGATATGAAGAATGCAGATGACAATCAGCAGACCTCCCCAGACTAGGACTCTTTAGACCGCCCTGTCACATGCACAGATGACAATCAACAGACCTCCCCAAACCACACTAACTAGGACTTTTTAGACAGCCCTGTCACGTTCACAGCTGTTGTGCCATCACAAACTAGTAAATGGTCGGAAGACTCACATATCTTGGGTGGTTTGAGGTGGTCTAAGGAACAGAAGTTCTGGACTGTTTTTGTTCAGGGATGTACCGGTATTATGGCACAATATTCCGTTCAATATGTCTAGGGTACATAGGTTATAGTATAGTGTATAAAAATCCATCAGAATATGGATGCCAAATTCAAAGTTTGTACAGATTGATACACAAATCTTATTCTTGATACAAAAGAGAGAGAGAGAAATGGGGTTAAACGTCCACTCGACACAAACTAGGTCATTTCGGGACTAACATATGGTTTAATTTTATTTACATAATTCGCTTGCGCATAGGGGTCTTTAGCAGTGGGAGGAAACCGGAGGCCCCAGAGAAAACCCACGAGGTTGGACAGGCGACCCTTCTCCTTGCCACGTACAACCGGGGATTCGAAACCACGCCAGTCGACACAATGACAGTCTTTATGATACAGCGCGCGCACGCTAACCATTCAGCCATTCAACCCCCCTTCTTGATACAAACATTTTACAATTTTAATAAAATCAAGAGTTCAATTTTACTTACGTTCTTGGAAATTCATATAAAAAGGTGACAATTAAAACTACTGCGAAGTCCAACAAAGCCAGTTTATAAAACTGTTGCCCAATGTAAGTTTCCCAACACTGAAATATATATTATAATATAATTTTAACTTCAATTCAAGTTTGTTCTGTATAAGCCCACATTGAAATATGGTTCTATATTGTTGTGACTGCCTTCGATCCGGTTGATTGTCAACAATTTCTGATAAATTTAATGTTGGAGTAAGAGCCCTTGTTCAATTTTTTTAATGTTGTGGACATTCCAGAGACTAAAGTTATCATCTGCTTGATTTTATACTTATTGTTTATGTTCGCAAGACAAAGGAGCCTGCTGCTCAACAATTACCATTAATTTATGTCTTTTAAAATGCACCCATTAAAAACAAAAGATTAATATGGGACAACCTTTATGAACTGTTCGGACGACTGTAGGCATGTTTTGTTGCCTGGCAACCAAACTATTTACCTTAATACTGCCATCGGAATCTGTTAATGTCCATTGTTGATTACCACAACATGACTCTGTACATCTAGCTTCATCTGTAGACAATAGTTGATAATATAGAGAGAAAACTAACACACCCAACGATGCTAGACGTAATAATACTGTTCTGAAATAATTAAAATTATAAGTCAGCAATGTATATAGAGTTCTGTCCCTAGATTTCTTGATTTATCTATACATGAAAAACTACAAAGTGTGGATAGACAGACTGGGGTAACGATAATTTATATCTACATTAAATGTGGCTGAATAAAAAGGGAACATAAGTTTCCTACAAAATCTTTTTTTTTGGAAAGCTTTAAATTATTGTTTCTAGCTATAAACTTTAGATTGCCTGGGGTGATAACTACTGGTATATATTCTTTCAAGAAATATTTAATGCAAATCTCGCAAGAAATATTTAATGCAAATCTTGCAAGAAATATTTATTGCATATTCCACGAAATCAAACATTAATATTATCTGATAGCTATAAACATTATATTCTACCTGAATAAAGTTATTTTTAGTTCAAACACTGGACTATAATCTTCAGGTAAAACTATTTTTGAAAACATTAAAGGTATGACAACATTTAGGAATGTGATAGTCAATGATGGCAAAAACTCTACAATAAGTCTCAAAACATCATCATCCAAATTCTGTTTTTGTAGCTGTAAAAAAAATGAGAAAATTAAAAAAATAAAATTTCATTCAAATTACTGAGTGAAGTTATGAGTGTTTGAAGTTTTGACAAGATAGTCTTGATTGCCAAGTACCATTGCTACAATAATAAACAACTGTCAAGTACCATTATTCATTTTAACGTTAAATTATTGAATGTTAATATCACCACCATCTCATAGTCTAGAGAGTTGATTATGGGCTTGTCATGTGAATAAAAGCCTTATTAATCAGTTATATAACATTTGAAGTCAAAAACAAGACCTGCAGTAGGCAGATTTAGCTCTTGCATAATGTATTTAGATATCCAGTTTCAAAGAAATTTGCTATCAACACAATATTACTTACATCTAAAAGCTTATCAGATGTCCAGTATATCAGATATAAACAGGCACCCAGAACAACTACCACAAAAATATTGATAAAAAATCGAATAGTGTACAGACGACATTTTTCTCTCGCAGACCTGTCAGCCTGACGTAATCTCAATCTTTGTTCCTCCAGATCAGCCTATGTTGTCAACAAATAAGAGAAGAATTAAGATTACATAATTAAAAGTACATAGAATTTATATTTATTTTGTTTTCTCACAAGTGAATTAATAACACACTAAAGGGAGATAACCCACTTTTTGTGTCAGACACATCCCCTCGATTGGTTACAACTCTGTGACATGGCAGCCTTTGTTGGATTTCTGGTTATGAATGAAGATGGTTTGAATTAAAATTTTCTGACACTATTTCTTGAATACTTTTGATTATGAGAGAATGACAACATTGTGTATCTGAAAAATATCCATCGTCAACCAGATACAAGCTTTGGAGCAAGGCATTGCCACATGTTGCTCAATCTATGGTAGAAGCATTCAAAAGTAAGCTTTAGACATAATAGGCAATGAGAACATTTTTGGTGGTCCAGGTCTGTAGCCATATCCAACAGCTTCATAATAAAGCACATTAAGGGGGGATAATAATGGTGAGACTATATCCTGTATCATCTGAAACCCATGAACATAAAAAAAACAGCCTCACCTTAAACTCATAACAAACATTAGCATGTTTGATACTGGCAGCTTTTTCATTAAAGATACAGAAATCCCAAGCACTGAATACTTTATTACAATACATAGTATTAGAATCTTCTGCATCTATCACACCTTCTTTAACACTTTTACCCGAACTGTTCATAAAAAGAAAGAAAAATATATTTTTAAACTAATTTTTCAACAAACCACAAACACACGACGGGTGAAACTCGAAGGTCTGAATGCTTTACAGAACGGTGTTTCAAAAAATGCTTTATTGTTGTTGTTTGTTTTTTATCCATTTTGGCTTTTGACCCAGGTGGTGCACACCTTACTACACCATTGGTTTTTCCTTAGTTTATGTACCAGTTCATTATACAGTATTTGACTAATATTCAACAAAAACATTACTTACTTTTTCACTATTAAAATAAAACTTATTAGAAAAGTAATGCCTATAGCCAATAAATATCCCAATCCGATATTAAAGTCAAATTGGCGACTTGCATCAGTGACAGATTCTGTGAAGGTTAAATTGTGATATAAACCATAAAATAAATGTGTTTTCTCCATCCAGCCCTAAAAGGAATAGAAATATCAATAATAATATATCAGTTATTTTTCAATTAATGTGTGTTCTTCATAATTATACATTTATTATGTGTGTTCGTTTTGTCAAATAAATGACTTTTGATGTGGCACTGATTTGCCTGGGGAAAGCTTTCTTTTACTTAAAGAGGAATTAGCCATTTGGAAGTAGGGAAAAAAATTTTTTTTACCGTGATTTGACAATAAAGTTATATAGGGCATATTTAAATAAGATTGTATGCAACATTAACTTTCATTTTTATTGTAGTTTTCAAGGTGATTAACATACAGTTTCATCACTTGAATTTCAACAAGTAGTGAGATAAAGCTTATTTGGAATATGATGTTATTCAAAATCAAATCTTGGCAAGAATGATAATGCAAGGTTAAAATGAGATAGTATCAATGATCACTTGCATGTTTTAAAATCTGAAGACAGTTCTACACTTACCGTCCCTTTAAAAAAGTTGAGAACTTTATCTGTTGTGGAATCTGTATTTTTTATATTCTCTATATGACGATCATAATACCGACTACAATTAATGGCTTCAATTACACCAATATGTGTTGTATTAGTTACATTAAAGTCACTAGCAAAGTCATCGTTTTCAGAGAACAAGGTGGGTAAAACAATTACAGGAAGAGTGATGAGAAATATATACACATTTAAAAACATTAACCATCTTGTAAAACGAAAGTATGATGCTGTTGCAGTACCAAATTTCCCTGAAAGAAAAAAAGGTTTGCAAGGCAATTATAACATACTGTAAGTCAAATTCTATACGCAATAAAATTTAAACATCATTTAATCATATTAAAATGAGGTTTAAATGCTCTTAAATCAATCTGTATCAATAGAGTGACATTCTCTGCAACAGAATAGTTCCATCATTTTGAGACTTATAGAAGACAATGCACACAGGAAAGTTTAAAATTAGTCCTACTCTTCTTCGAAGGATTTATTTCATAAAACCAATGCATTCATTCGATTGACCTCCGATTTTCGTAAAACGTTCAACCTCTTATGTGCCACCCCTGAGTGAGAACCAGACTTGAGCATTAATAACAAAAATAATAATAATACCTTCAATTTCTTTAAATGTACTCGCCCATAATTCTAACTGATAAAGGTACCCTTTTAAATCTGCCTTTTTTCTTTGCCATGCCTAAAATTATGAAAAAAATTGTAGTGTTCGCAGCTTTGTATCTTAGTGTTCTTTTTTGTTAATATGTGTGGTATTGCCTTTATTTTGGCAAATACTATGAGGTATTTCCTTAAACATTACATTATGCAAGAGCTAAATCTGCCTATTGCAGGTCTTTCCTATGGCTTGAAATGTTAACATGAAAAGACCTTAATCAACTCTCGATTCCATCTTATGTGTCGAATTTTCATTCGATTTGAATCCAATCTGCCGCTCAACGCTCATTGATGATTAAATACAAAAATGGATAATCGAGACTTGTGTTTTATATCGTACCGACTTTAGTAATGATGATCGAGGCTAGACCTGACATTCAATCGTTAATATCTTGGTTCAGAGTGGATCAATTTGACTGAAATTTTCAGCATATTCCCTTTACATTATCTAGTTTTTAACTATTATAGTGAAAACTGCCAGCTCTTTATCTCATCTTCCATAATGCCCCTTTAATCTTATCGTGAATGGTACTGAATTAAAAAAGATAACGGAAAACTTCTCTTCTAAGGAAACTTACATCGGTACTAAATTGGTAGGTTGACCTTAAAATAAAGATAAGGTCTTTCCTCGAGAATAAGGAAGAAATTTCGTCCAATAATCTGTCTCCAAATCCGTTTACGTCATATAATGGCATTTCCCAAATTTTCAAAATCGTATACTTTATTTCATACCCAAATTCAAAAATTTACGAAAATTCAATCAGACATACTGAAGCAGTGGCAGAGTATAATCATTGTTTTTTTAAAACTGACATTAATCTTGACCTTAGTCAACAAGAAAATTCTGACTGACAGACCAAGAAAAAAAAATGCTGAGCAAAATTATGAGTGTTTCTGTATACTGAGCTAATATTAGTCACTGAATGAAAATACCCATCAAAATACCCCTATCACTCAAGCATGATATCACGATTATTGAAATGTGACCGGTGTTGTTGGAATTTAATAATGAAAAGAAAGCCAGCTGTATTATAAACTTACGAGGGATGAAGCAATAGAGTCAATTCTCAATAATTACGCTGACAGTATGACTAAAATAGGGTCTATTCATGACTAAGAAACCTTAAAAGACAATTGTAGGTCACATCAAGTTGATATCAAGTTCAACCAGATCTTGGTTATAAATAATAGGAGTAAGCTTGTGGATTTGTAAAGAATATTGGGCTTATACATTTTCTTTATTTGCAGCAATAAGACCCAAGACTGATTGACTTAGTAGATTTCAATTCATTTATAGAGCTTTTCTCTTACAGGCCAATTTACATTAAAGCTAAAATCTTAAAAATCAAACTCCTGTAATCTAATCACATATTTATAAGATACCTACATGTGAAGAGGAACTACTTTGTTACACATTAAAGAAGGAATATTGCTTTGGAGGTCTGCGAAAGAAAATTAAAATCGATTTGAAGTAATTTTAATCTACAGGTACATCTGTGATGTTCAAATTTGACTGTATACAATATCTGAGAGAAACATGCCAATCTGTTACAATTCACATGGTTTTCAAGGAATTTGGTGAACGTTTATGAAAAATAAGTTACTATAAATATGTCAGTGTTAATTTAAATATATACTATTCAAAAAAAGTAGGGGATATTTGATTTTTAAGTGTAATTAAAGTCACCTAATGAAACTGACGAAGAAACAAATGACAAAATGAAATGAAGTTCACATTCATCGATTTATTCCAAATGATCGTTAGACTAAGTAAGGCACAGACTGACCATTATAAGGGTAAAATGATACCCGGGGTCAAACAGCAAAGTTACCACAGCATCACAACCAAGTCAGTAACGGGTAAATCCTCCTCTGTTTGCCAAACAAGCATTGATCAGACGTGGCATACTCCTAATGAGACGTCTAAGGTCTTTTTGGTCCAGATTGTCCCATTCCTGTTGCAACGCAGCAGCAAGTTCTTGGACATTGGCAGGACGTTGTTGACGTTGACGTAACCTCTGTCCAAGCATGTCCCAGACATGCTCGATGGGGGAGAGGTCGGGACTCAGTGCTGGCCAAGGTAATGTGGTGATGTTCTGTTGTTGGAGGTAACCTGTAACGATCCTGGCCCTGTGACATCTTGTGTTGTCATCCTGGAAGATGAAACGGCGGCCATGACGTCGTGCGAACGGCACAACATGGACTGCCAAGATGTTGTCCCGGTAGTACTGGCCTGTAACACGCCCTGCAACAACATGTAAAGCCGTTCTTCCAGCAACAGTGATGCCTCCCCACACCATAACAGAACCACCCCCAAATCGATCATGTCTGATGACGTTAACGTCTTGGAAGCGCTCGTTTCGACGACGCCACACCCTCCTACGTCTGTCCAAAAAATCAACAGTGAACCTTGACTCATCTGAAAACATCACATTGCTCCAGCGTCGATTATCCCAGTGTTGACGATCCCTACACCAACGACGTCTTGCCTGAATGTGATGATCTCTCAAACAAGGGATCACGCGAGGACGTCGGACGCGAAGGTGACCCCTATGCAGTCGATTCCGAATCGTCTGGCCACTCACTCTCACACCAGTGTCTGTTTGAAGACGAGCGCTGATCTGATTTGCTGTGATGACACGATTTCTCAAGGCCAAGGTACGGATAAATCGATCCTGGGCTTGAGTTGTCGCCCTTGGTCGACCTGAGCGTGGTCTGTCCTGTACAGATTGTGTATCACGGTATCTGGACCATAGCCTGCTTATGACAGACTGAGAAACATTCATCGTCCGTGCCACAACCGCCTGTGTTGTGCCGATCTGTAGCATGCCAAGGGCACGTAACCTTTCATTTTGGGTAAGCCGACGCATATCAAAATTTGTTTTCTGGTCACTAAAACAATTAAACTGATGTTTCCACCCTGGAATTCAATGCCACAATGACTGTAACATTCAAAGTCAGAGTCGTGCAAATCTTGGGTTGGACCCCCATGATGATCCCAAGCATCACCTGCATTCCATGCGGTAGCTATTGGTGCGTTTGGGCGTCACATGTAACTGGAAATGTTTCTTCTGTTAGGTTCTATAGTGACTTTTTTCGTAGTCATTTGCATACTTTAGTATTATGCCCCCAAAATCAAATATCCCCTACTTTTTTTGAATAGTATATTATTAAAAATACAATTACATTTACTTTCTTGGTGAGAATGTTTCTCTAAATTGTCTAAAATAACTTTTTGTAAATTGCACTGGTAGATATAAGCAATTTGGGCTCTTGCTTTAATCATATCTGCCAGTCATGGTAGTGAATTTACAATAAATTAATATAAATACAGTTAAATTTATAGGTTTCATATGTGTAAAAACACCTTTAATTATACTTTAAAATTTTGATAATGCTAAAAATTGTCATTAGAAAAAAACATCCAGTTAATGTGAAGCGAAAAAATCTTTCAGAACTGACTTAATACAAAATCAGTTATATCTCAACACTACCTTTTTAAAACCTAGATCTCACACATAACCAAATTCACTGAAATGTATGATTTTAATTTTTATGTTTTCTATTAGATGTATACAATATTTAATATTTTTTTTTGTCATTTGCTTTCGTTGTAGTTTTACTGCTTTTTCTTTTAGATCTGGTAGTTGTAAACCTATACATGATCTGTCATGCAGAAAATATTTGTCCTCAATATATGATGCACAATTTTGCTTAAAGTTACAATTTCATATTTTCTAAGAAAATCAAAACATAATTATTTCTATGTCTTTTGCTTAATAGGTTGTCAACTCACTATTATACGCTCATAGGTTATCTTTCTCACACTTAAAAATCTTCACACCGGAAATAATAGCACAATACCTCCCTTGTTTTCCTATTCCCCATCATGGAATAGCTATTTTCAAACATTTGAATTCGAAGTTGAAAATGATATTTTTGCTAATTTCTCAACTGGCAATAGTGAATTATAGGATAAATAGGATTATTCTTTAACAAGGTAGGACTGTTTATAGAGACCATCTATTTTAGGGCTTTATTTTAATATATTTTAAAAATATAACTTAAAAATATGAAATTGTAACTTTAAAGTGACATTGATTGATGTCCTTGAGATATTAAACTGTTGATGAAAATAAAAACGATATGTATAACATCTTATCAGGGGCAGAGCCAGGAATTATTGCAGAAGGGGTTTGCCAGGATCCTGAGACAATGTATCTTTTGGGGAGATCTGGGTGTGCTCTCTCCCCACGGCCTTGAAGATTTTTGAGAAATAGATGGTCTCTATCGACATTCTGCCGTATATATCTGAGGTAACCAGAGGTCACTTTGACAAAACACCGAAACTGGGATTTTACATAAAAACATACTAAATACATGTACCTACTACCGTACGTTTTAGTTTTACTGATATGCAAAAAATCAGTTCTGCACGATTTTGACAGGGAACTTTAAGGAGGCAAAATAGAAAAAACAAAAACCGACCGCAACGCTATCAAACACCAAAATATGAAGAAAATTCATCACATGAACTATTTGTTTATTTTTTTGCAAGACGCCCGGGCACAGATAACTTGACAAGAGCCTAAAATAGAGTTTTGCACAATTATGATGCCGAATAAAATGGGGAGAATAAGTGGTGTGGATGTTTTTTGATGAATAATTGTGTTGGGTTATAAACTTGCATTTCAAGTTTCATCAAAATCAGATAAAAATTGTAGCCTCTAGAGGGTCCACAACTTTGATATACTTTGATTTACACTATTTGCGTACGAGGGGCGGCCATTTTGTCCGGCGGTTTTGGTCCGATTTTCATGAAATTCAAACTCGGGCAAAATTACGGTGTAACAGTGATATATTCGAATGTTTTCTTAAATCGGATAATAATTGTGACCTCTAGAGGGACCACAAGCTAAAAACATGATTTTTTGTACTATCAGGGGCCATAATTCAGGAAGCTACGATTCGATATGTACGAAAATGGACAGGAACCACGATATTTGGATTATAAACATGCATTTCAAGTTTCATCAAAATCAGATGAAAATTGTGACCTCAAGATATCACATATGTGTTATATCATTATCTCACGTGGGTCCATGATCAACTGAAAATAATAGTGGCTTTTGACTTTACATCACTTCAGCTTTTGTCTTTGCATTGGGTTAATTCTCTCATGATGGACAGACATGGCTGATGACATAATACACCCACGGTGAAATGTGAGCATATAAAAATACTATTATTATTACTGCTAGTAATCATGCAATATCACTTTAACACTTTGACACTTCAAAATCAATATAGCCCGTAACATTTAATTTTACAAATAAACTTTTGAATGTCACATACATAATATAATATTTCGATATAATATTAAGCAGGGTCAACTTGAACTTATATATATTTTATTTAAATTTAAACAGGTAATGAAATATATATAAGTTCAAGTTGAGGCTACTCAATATTATATTTCATTACGGGGATCACGGTGACTAAGTGGGTAATGCGCTGACTCGCTAGCCTGGAGGTCGGATGTTCGATCCCTGCATTGGCCGAGAAAGTTCATCCAGATTTTCCGGTGTGGTTCCCTCTTGTCAGTGATGTAGGATGGAGGGTCTGACAAGGACAGCTGTCTAGTCACTCGGATGGGACGAAAAACTGAGGTCCCGTGTACACATTGGCGTGCATGTAAAAGATCCCTTGAAAGTTGGAATTTGATATAAGAGTAGACCGTAGTGCCGCTGTCCAGGCAAAATTTCCCTCATAGCTTAACCCTGTCTTCATTAGCCCAGTTTGGAGCAGAACAGAAGGACGTTAAACCCCATTTCATTTGATTTTCATAAATTTCATTACCTGTTTAAATTTCTGTTTCAGTGATTTAAAACCTGGTTCATCTTCAAGATCTCTGAAATATAAAATATCAAAACAATAATACAACTGGATGGATATTCAATTTTCATTTTTTGGCAATGGTAGGAGTGCATGTGTGTGGGGATGGGAGGAGGGGGGGGGGGGCTTGACACTTTAGTAAATACTGATGTCATGTAAAATCTGGTTTATTTAAATTATTCTTCAAGGTCCAATCGTTTAGTAACCGGAAATATTTTGATGAAAAAAATACTACAGTCCAGTGTAAAATGTCTTGTCAGTGCATTAAAAAATGTTTCTGATGGTTAAGTTTCCTTTATAGTCAGTGTGAATTTAGCGTAAAGCGAAAAAAAACATTTGGATCTACAATACAATATAGTTCCATTTACATGTACTTCATATTGATGTATTTTAAATAGAAAAGGTAATAATTTGGATTCCAGTGGATAAATAAGGATATTTGAAATAAGGAAAAAAAAAATTCTGTAGACAGATGTCCAGATTTGAAAATGATTAGTTTCCCGGTCAATTATCTTCAAACTGTTTTCCTCAGCTCAATTACAATACCTCATATAACCACCATTCAATCATTACAATCATTCAATCATTTTGGATTCAATAGGCTTTCTTATACCATGTAAATATTATCATAGCAAAAAGTGTCAAGCGTAGGAAATAACTTGTAGCAAATGAAACATAATATACAAAAGCTGGCAAAAATTTATACATTCAAGTAATTAAGTTTTCCTAAAAGATTAAACATACATTATGCAAGAGCAAAATCGGCCTATTGCAGGTCTTTCTTTAGGCCTGAAATGTTATAAAAACTATTAATTAGACATTAATTAACTTATCCAGACCATAATCAGCTGTCGATGTCAAGGATTGCCTGTGATATTTGTTGGATTGCAGTCCGATTTGCTGCAAAACTTTCCTTCGTGATTAACGATTAAATGGATAATCAAGACTATTAGTTTTGTCTTATCGACTTCAGTAATGATGATCGAGGCTAAGCGGAACTTTCATCCGCTTGGTTCTCGGCTCATAGTGGATCAATTTGACTGAAATTTTCAGCAAGTTGCCTTTACATTATGTAGTTTTTAACTATTATAGTGAGAACTGCCAACTCGTTATCTCATCTCCCATAATGTATCTTTAAACTTTAAAAATAGATTTAATCTATGCAATATGTGGTTATAAATATGGGATATATTGCACACGAATGCAGTATTTCCGAAAACATAAAGGGGGTGGGGGGGGGGACATAAAATTTTTAATTATTTATTGCTAATTGATATTAAAAAGAACAGAAAACTTTTGAAAGGGTGTGTATTGATATTGTAAATATTACATGTACATATTTATACAATTGATTTCTTGGAACATAAGTGAATATTTGAACAATACTTTGTTGGACTGTGTTCACATAGTTTTTGTTTTTTTGTTATAGCTTTATAAGTTTCCATTTTATATACATGTATAAATGCAACAATTCTCCCACAACAGCAATTCTCTATCATTTATACATCAGTGAAGTCAATAACCGATAAAATTAATTTACCACATAGACATGCTAATACACCAGATTGGGTTGTTATGTAAAGGGCATATACTACTAAATAATTGATATGTGTGTGTAATATTTTCATGTCTGTTAGCTTCTTCCAAATATCTATGATTTTGCCCAACAGTAAATCTTTCCTAGCTTGTTTGATGGCTTTTGTAACTGTTGATGTCCAGATAGAGAAATGTCAGAAAGATAAAGACCTTGCTTTTGTCATTTTGTCTACCATATTTCTGACTGTTTGGATGTTTCTGAGAATTTTATCTTAACTTTCACCTTAACAGATGGCTTATGCAAACTTTTCGTATTTGGATTCAGATAATAATAGATTAGATAACAACAAATACATGTACAAATATATACAAATCAGGTATAACGGCAAACAGCTGGTGACATGCAATCAATACAAATTATTGTAAACTTCAAGTGGTAATTATATAGAATTGATTGATTTCAATAATACTTAGACCAATATGTTTTTAGCAAGACAACCTTTGATTATGTTCAAATAAAAGCTAAAATGACGTTTGATAAACAAGCGATACTGTTGCAGACTATTTTATGTAATCGAGCTTAAATAGGTACAATTTCTAAATAATTAGATATATTTAATAAGTGTGTGATTAATTTCCCATTTAGTAAATGGAGTCCAATACCCAGACCTATTCCCGAAAATAGCTATCGTTTCTTGCATATACACCACGTGGCCTACATACATTTGTGTCAGTGTCTACATTTGATGTTTATTCCGGTATTTTGTCCCTTTGGGCTTTAAATTTTAAAAAATGATTTGCCTTTGACCTTAGTTATTGTAGTTCAAAAAAGAAATTTCAATGTTTCAAATTACTTGTGGTTGATATGTTAAAGCAAATAAAATTTGTCCGATTTAGTCTAGCATATCGAGGTTTTCAAATCCATTCTCACGAAAACCATCCTTGGTGCTAATGATCTAAATGGATCTATTTCAGACTAACACCTAGGGGTGGACTGTGTAGCTCTTGACCTACAGACCAATTGGCTTCCTTGAGGCCAACTAAACCTTTTCCACACCCCACTCATAGATTATGTTTTTCCTTGGATTTTGGCCATCATATATTACAGTGAATGAGAAGATGAGTTTCATTTATTTTGAAAACAATATGTCCAGTTTTTCCCCATAGGGACAGATGGGCCTCTGACCCATCAGGCCCTTAAACCATGTTTGACGCCCAGTCCATACCTGATAACACCTCTGAAATTTCGATATGCAGTTTGTCTCAATATCGCTCAGTAAAATAGTCTTGCAAAACCTGTTACAAAATGTTTGAATTTATAATTCATTTCATTCTCAGTATACAGTAAATCAAGATCTTTAATAAAGGTGTTGCAATCATTTTTTAAGAGAAACAATTTGGGGTTTGTGGTTTGAAAGTTAAGCAAACCAGACAATTACATGGTCTTTGACAATTGCTGTACACCCAATGTTACAGCTTGTCTGCAGCACTTTTTCAATTGTTTGTGAATTTGCCAATATGACAATATTGACCTAGATACAAGTTAAATCTCCCATCGCATATATCGTCTATCCCATAGGTCTATAACTTGCACAAGCAAAATATTACCATTCAAGCTCCAGTCTTTTAATTTAAAAAAAACATTATTTATTTAATCCAAACAACAGGCTACTCTATGCATGCCAGTTTTTCTTTAGTATGCTTTAATTTTAATACGGGCAATCAAAAGTGTGGAAATGCCTACAATTGAAGTCTTTGCTTTTACGTGCTTGCCAATTTGTACATTGGTGGACCCTGTTTTTTCTAAGTCAATTCCCACATGCTTACATCAACATCAGAGTATTATTTAACATACATATTACTTTTAGCCCATTTTTGTTTATCAGCATGTCATGTTTCTGAATTATGAAGATGTTAAACAAAACTTTTCTGGGGAAAGGAAAATTCCCCTTCAATCCCATTTGTTTCATTGAAATGGGAAAGATCTTTATTTATATAAACATCATATAAAAAAACAGCTTTTTGCATCCTGTTCGGTATCACTGTAAATTGATGAGTATCACATATCAGATTACAGAATATTCAATTTATTCATTTTAACGCTACACATGAAGTAAGTAACAAGGAGTAGGGTCGTCTCTGGGTCATCTCTGAGTTCACCAATTTCCTCCCCTTGCTAAAGATCGCTACACGCAAGCGAATTATTGAAATAAAATTTATCAGGTTAGTCCCGAAATGATCTACTTTCTGTTCAGTGAAGTTTAAACACCATTTCTCTTTTTCAATACTTTCCAAATAAGGAAAGGGAAGGAATTGGGTTTAACATCCACACAAAGCATCAGTCATTTTGAGACGTAACATTTTTTTGTTTTATTTTGTTTGTCCTAATAAGGAAAGTAGGGACCAACTGGAATGGTCCAGATCAAGATTAGCAATGTGTATAACTTTATGTTAATCAATGTTAAAAATAGCTTTGAAGAGACATTCAGAAAATGTCCATAAAAAATGTGTTACCAATTTATTTTTCAAAACTTCTTTTGTTAAAGTTTGTGATGTATAATTACAAAATTAGTAAACTATACTACTGTTTGATTTATATCAAATTTATTGTTCAATTTTATTAAGATCAGAAAAGTATTTATATATTGACCCATTTACAAACTTTCAACCATTCAGTTGCATTAACAATGAGTTTGACTTTAAATATAACTAGCTAAGTCATACTTTCCCTTAGGTAAAGGATATTATCATTCCTACGCAAATTATACATACTAATTATGACTTATCAATAATGGATTGAATCCTGTTACTGTTTTCTCTATTACGTACATAATACCTGTATGTATGTAATTATCTAATTGTAACATAAGAGTATATAAACAGTGTTAAGTAATTAACCCTCAACAATTATTTATCGGCTAATACCGTATTCAAATTTTAAAGTACAAGACCTCTTTTATTTGTGTGATAATAGAAGTCTTAACTTGATTATATTTAATAGTTTTTTGCATGTAAACTTTAAAATCCACAGATTAAGATAATTTTGAAACATAAAAAAGTTTTGATTTCAATACAGCTAACACGACAGTGCAGGTCAAAACCAAAATTAAATTAAAAAGCAAACAAATGTCTGCCCCCTACCTACATGTATCTATATGAAATCTAATAACATAAAGCTTGATCCACCACTTACTTAAAATACACATCGTGTAAGTCAAGAGGTACAGCTCCTTTAAAGTTCAAAATTTATGATGTTTTAGCCGTACTAGATAAATATTAAACATTTTAATTTCAATTACCAAATTATTATCAATAATAAATTAATAATGAATGAAAGATCAATCGACAATTTAAATTAATATTATAGTTACTTGAAATCGACTAGGGATTAAAGGTAAATCTATTACATGTAATATAGTTATTCTACATTTACTAAGGTGACATGTACAACGGGGGAGAATTTTCCCCAAAATCATTTTTTCCACATTTTTGTAGGAATCACAAATGCCAATGGTTCTTTTAAGTGCACATTTGTGTCTCCAATTGTACATATATAAAGGCACCGGAAGAATTCTAATAGGTTTTTTTTATTTAGTCCACCATGGGAATCTAACCTAACAAGTGTCAAGTCAAGATTTGTTGCTTTTCGACTGAAAGAATTCTCTTAAGAAAAATCTTTGCTGTTATGACAAACTTCTGTACTTTGAAATACAGTCTGCCAACATACAGAAAATATTCTACAGTATATGCATTTGTTAAAAGAGAAAGATTTTGAATTCTCTTTAGAAAAATATTTGTCATTATTACCTTAATCCATCAGCTAATTCCTGTGTGGAAGATTCTTTGGCTTGTAATTTTTCTCGTAAAGTTTTAGGATGTTGACGTTTTGTACTTGGTAATCCCCTTTCTTCCTCCAACTCTGTTTCATCATCGGTCTCTATGTATCCTTGATCCTCACGTTTAAGCCTAATAGTTTTCAGAGATTTGCGAGCTTTCCGTTTGATTCGAATAGTAGCCAGAACTCCCATCATATTTTTATAGTTGTTTAAATCAACTGTGCCATTAGATATTCTATCGTCCTCCATGTTTGTAGAATCGCCTCTATGTTTTCTATATAAACCACTGTGACGGTGTTTCCTATTTGTCAACATCTGGTTCTCCGAATTCCTGGGAAAGCTGTTTCTATGAGTTGGTATGTATGCATCCTCATAGTCAGGTGGTAGTGTGTCTGATTCGAAAGCTGGGTTAACTTCACCTCTTGCATTGTTTGTTGTTGGATGGTAATTCGTCCTAGGTGTTGATCTTGTGTCTTTGAAAGACTGTTGAGGATAATGTTGATTTTCCCTCGGGTAAGATGGCCCCTGAATATTGTCTAATTTGTAACTATTGTCTTCTGGTCTGTAGGACGTACTCCTTTCTATACCTCTGACAGGAGATACACCTCTTTCGTTATTATACTCATTGATTGGCTGACCTGGAGATCGATATGGCTCCATATGTTGACTGTTATTGTTGCTCGATATTAGTTTATCAGCTTTAAACTTTCTTTTGTTGCTGTAAACATTAGGTGAGGGATCCAAACTCAATCCCCTTGCAATGTTGTAACGGTTCAGGTCTGCTACTTGATTTAAGTACTGTTCATTATTAGTTTCAGTAGTTGTACGGTCCTCATAGTCCGGAGGTATATCGTCCCACTGGTTATATGTATAGTCCATTCTAGAACGTGAGCGTGGGTAATTTGACATGGTGAATGTTAAGAGCCCGGTTTTATCTTACACTTGTCCTGGGTAATAAATATTTTAATCTATATGACAAAGAGTAAACAATACATAAAGTAAGAACATGATAAATTCCTATATATAGAAGCCAAGACAACAAAATCAAAATGATTTTTTAAAAATACTTTTTTCAGTATTCACATATTAAACTAACAAGGATAAATCTAAGACTGATCAAAGTTCTATTTTATATTAAAACATCTTCTTCGACCGATCTTTAAAATCCAAATTTTAACACAAACCAAAGACACTTTATCTGATCTATTTACCACAAAATAAAAAAGGTGCAAAAGAAACAAAACTGCACATAAAAACCTTCTTCAAACTGTGTATCTATCTTTCAAATTCACATACATAAAATACGCATAAAAATAATAGGTTGATAGAAGCTTCTATCTTTAAATCTAGTTATATGAAATAAACTTTTCACTCAACACAACATTAATACATCTACATGCACCCTACCGTTCTGTCTAAAGAATATCCTACATCCTAAACATTCCCATATACCATGTCCCTGTTCATTCAGCTAGTATTTGAGACGAACCAATCAGTTTAACAAACATGCACCAAACTTCTAAAGTCAATGAAGCATTATGCTCTAATCTTCACACATTCCCTACTTCACATACATGTATCAGTAATAATTAATAAAGGGGATCTTTACCATAGGTCACAGATCAGTTCTGCTTGATTGAATTTGTGAGGGTTTAGGTGGTCATTATAATCAAACAAAGCTATTAAGTTCTTGGGTGTAAAATTGTGATTCATAAGATTTCGGGATTTTACTAGGTTCGATGCATGATCGGCATTACCTCACATTTCTAAAATAGATATCTTAATCATGTTTCTGATCTCAAATTACAATTTTAGCTGTGATAACTCATGGCTTATCTATATATCATACACAACTATAAATATAACCTCAAAGGGAGTTCAATTCAATAGTCACCTTTAAACAAACTGATTCATATCATTTTTTCTAAGCTTAAAAATCACTGATCATTATTTACATTTTTGGGACAATATCTAATTCACTCTAAAATATACTCAAATTGATTATTTACCATTTAATTAAGAAATATAATCAAAATAAGAAAGGCAGATAAAATCTCGGCTTGGATTCAGTCGGATTATAAAGAAATGAAATAAAATGGGGTTTAACATCCTACTGGGATTATAAAAAAGCCCATCAAAAGATTTCAACAAAAATGACACTAGTTGATTTTCACCATATCCTATATATCATCTGTTGTAGCTGCAGAATGTTAACAAATTTTAATTTATGACATGTTTGTAAATGCTTAATTGAACTGAACCATCTTTTTTCTATTTCTTTTATAGATTCAACTTTTAGAATGTTGTAGTTTACAAGGGATTCAAAATCTCTCAAATGACGATGTACAGCTTTATGTTATGTCAGTAAAATCGAGCACTACTGATCCTAACCTTAGGTTAAACTACAGAGTATCAACCGACACATTTTCTTCCTTCATCAAAACATTGCTTTAAAAATTAAAATCAAACAGACTAATGTTCAAATACATGTGAATACATCATTACCCTTTTTTTAAAATATATGTTAACTTTACTATCTGAATATTGACCAAGTGTAGATCTGCACGTACCGCACTTGGATGCTTCAACAATACAAATACAATCAACGCCAAAAATCAATAAAATAACTTTAACTTACAGACTTGCGGAATGCGCTTGAAATAAATGATAACCAAAACTTTTCACAAATTCATAAAATTATTTCACAAAAACTATTTCTTAGTTCTTGTAACAAACAATTATTTTTTATCCACGAATCTCATACGGTACGTATAATGTATTTTAATGAATTTAATGCACGAACAACCTGAATAGCACACGCTCAGGTATCTTAACTTGCTCAGCTCAAGTAACCCCTAAATTATATATTACGTATACCGGTAGCTATATTAGGGTTCATTGGTCCATCCCTATCCTATTCAGTTTCAACAAGGAAGTTAAAACTATGACATCATTATTTCAGATAACGATTTTCTTATCAGAAATATATGTTATTTCAATTCAATATTGATAAGAATATACATATATAAGCCTAATCAAATAATTCACACAGTTCTTGATATAGTTTAACCCAGTTGAACAGCTCCAAACATTTTAATTGAGTATACATTATGCAATGCTTTGCAGGAGACATTGAACAATTTTTTTTGGCATTGCTATAAAATCATTTGTGATAAATAAATATTCCAAAAATAGTCGAGGTTCCAACAAATGTCTGAAGCATATCAACCCCCCCCCCCCCCCAACCATCCACACACACACAAATTTATTCATTATATTATGCTGTCTCTGACTTCTGTTTCATGTACTTTATAAAATTTGATGTCCTTGATCAAGATCTGTGAAATATTACAGCTGTGTTTGAAGATGGAATTTACCATGGATACAAAAGAAATGAAATATATACATGTGTAGAGAGAAATGAAGCTTAATGTTCACTCAACACAAACTAGGGCATTTTGGGAATAACATATGGTGCATCTTTTTTTCAATAATTCATTTACATAAAGGTGTTAAGACCACTGGCTATCATACCCCACCACTTAGCCAAATACAGAAAGTTGAAGACTGGTATCTGAAAGCAGTAATATTTTTAAACCAAAATTACACAGTATAAATATGTATTTAATTATTGTTTAATATTTTCTTCCATTGTACTGTACAATAACTCAAGTTCACCATATTTGTGAATGGCCCTTTAATGATGAAATATACATTTTCAAAGTGAATATTGCTTGACTTTTTTTCGAAGCAGTTTTCTCTTGACTGTGTGATCGAGTTTCATACTCCAAACATACTGTATTTGTTCAATCTACATATTATAACTATCATATTTCCTATAGTCATGTCGATAAACCATTACTTTATAGAACATGTAGTTTAAAGGAGAAATATGAGATATATTTCAGTGAATAAAATTAGTTTATACTGTGTTGAAGGCTCCTGTGCATAAACAAGCTTCTTTAAGATGGGGTAAATAGAACTTTTCTTCACATTTTAGCATATGATTTCCATACTTTTAAAAACCTTTGTACCCCAGACCCTATGAAAACTAGGGACTTCTCTTCTACCTTATTTAGGGAATGCTACAGTTTAACACAAAACTATATAAGTTTAATCAAAGAAGTAATAAAATAATATGGTGAATGAAGGTTTTTTCCAGATGATCTTCTATTTCAGTTGAACTCTCAATGACATTGCATTATCCTATTTTACACGATTCATGGATGAATAACAGTTTTCACAGGGACAGAAAGTTGTTGTAATATACAGGTGGAATTTTCATGAGCAAACATGAATCAGAGTTTTATTTCAAGTAAAAAAATTCTATATAATTTGAATAGGGTACAAAGATATACAGTATGCGAGTTTATAAATGTTTATAAAATTAATCCGTATAAAGGAATTTGTGGTATGTTAAGAAACCACTGTTTCATGTTTAAATACCTAGTACTTCCAGTAGATAATTGTAAGGTTGATCAACAATCTTAAAGTTTACATTTTTAGACAATATATTGTTCACATCTTACCGGGGTAATCCACACTAACATTTAATTAAGAAAACAAATTGAGAAGATCAACTATAGCTAATCTTCCAGTTTGGATGCAATCGGATTAAGAAAATAATTCATCATATCTTTGTACATGCTGAACGGAAAGGAACCATAAATTTTGGACTAATATGCCATTTAGAGATTCAACATTCACATTCACAATATTGTAGTTTCTAAGGTATTCAATGTCCATCAAATAACAATCAGAGATATTAAGTTTTAAATTGGGTGAATGGTGGGAAACATTAGACACATAATCTCTTGTATTCTCTAAATAAATATAATTAATGCTTTCTGGTATGTTAACTAAATCTTCATTGAAGATTTTTTGATAATGCACACAATTTTTGGGGTTTTGTAAAAAGATAGCAAACTAAAAGAACTCAAGAAACCGTTTAGATATTTGGCTAGGTATCAATTTTTGCCATACTGTAGTTTTATCAAATCCCCTACATTTACATTTGCAATTCCAACACAAACATTTCTCTTATAATTTCTACAATAAAAATTGTCAATAAATTATTTCATAATTCAATAATCAACCTTGCCAATCGATCAGTTCAATCATACCGATACATGAAACTTTCTGTCCAACATGTACTACCAGCTGTCAAGGTGGGACTTAGGCATGGGCTTTAGGGGTTTCAGCCCAAGAGTCTCTGCCAGTTAGAAGTCCTCCAGAGTTTAAAGTAGCTAAGTCTCTAACTCAGTGATTCTCAACCAGTGTGCCGCGAAATTTTGAACGGCACACTAAGAAAATGTGAAAAAACATGTGATCCCAATTGAGTATCCACTGATAAGTTCATAGCTGTGTTTTTCTTTATTTAGTTTGTCAATCTATGCGTCTATGACTAGTCTCTGTCTACGATTGTATTCCGTTTGACTTACCATGTTTTTATTTTGCAAAATTCAGATATTTTTCATATATATTTAGCCAGGTGTGCTGCTATTTCTTAATGTGTTCCAAGGTGTGCCGTTGGCAAAAAAAGGTTGAGAACCACTGCTCTAACTCAATATCATCCAAAGTCTTTGACATTGAAAACAGGAATTATTTGTCAATTCAAATCAACATTGATGTTGTGATCCTACCAGGAATAAAAGGGCTACTGATATCCAATATTTAAGACAAAATAAAGATTTTACCATTGGTACACGAATCGTGTACCATAATGCGTTTAGGCACCATTTGTAACAAGGGACTCAAAGAATGCGACAAGACATGTCAAATGGTGACGCCATATTCTTATCTGGAGAGCATGCACAATAAATAATACCGGTGTAGACTGGAATAACCGGAAGCTAGAGATTGCCATTCGATTGAGACTTCTGGCGTATTTCGCCAAACAAAACTGATTTGAAATTAAGAGTAAAAACGGAAACGATTGAATGTAAATCAGTTTAAATACATTCATACTACATTATTATATGCATTGCCACCCTTTTATGTCAATTTCTAGGTCCCAAATATTAACAATTTAGCTCCTTTAAATGCAAATTTATTTCATTTGTGAATGCTGAATCAAAGTATTCTAAATTATGTAATACTGCATATATGTAGTAAACATACTACTACAAAAAGAGACACTGTATAGAGGTGGTTGGTGGGTAGATATAGCCCAGAAACCTACAACACCTTAACAGTTCTGATTTACTTACAAACTTTACAATTGGTTTACATCCTTAACAACCTAACAATGTGTTCTGTGTATAAATAATGAAATATTTATTGACATATAAGTGGAAATATTGAACTATACTGACCAAGTACATTAAGGTTGTGACATCAAATGTTTGTCAACTGTACATTTTATGTGTGTTACGTTTACAAAATTCAAATCTGAAAATCTACCCAACAAATAAAACTGCTAACGTAAATTTTAAAATTATATACCGGTAATTTAAATGTAATTAAATGAATTCTAAATTTTATTTTATCTGAAAGCATATTTTTAATGAGCAGAAAAAAATCAATTATGGACTGGGGGTGGATTCCAGTGGAGGGAAAATCTGGAGAGCAAAATCGCTGAAGGCTGAATATCGATTAATAATCCCAATGCTACACACCAAATTTCCAAATAATTTGTTGTAAACTGTAGCCTATCGCGTTCACACAAGATCTGAGAGACCTAAATTAAAATTCAGTTTTACTTACCGTCTTATATATTTTCTCTTTATAGATATAGTTGCCACCATTGCACGTATTCTATCTCTATGTTGTAATGGTGTCATGCCATCAATCTCATCCACAAGACTAGTAATCTCAGATCGGTTTAATGACAGCTGACCGGTTAAATGTCCAGCCAATGCGCTAGTACTTTTAAGGGTTTCACTACCACTCTGTCCATCTTCACCATTTTGTGTTTTACGACTGTTCCTGGACTTGCGCTTCCGTGCCAAAGTACGGGAAAGGGTGTATCCAGCATCAGAAGCCATGGCCCGATGACTTGGTAGCCTAGCAATAATGTCTGCTTGATTACATGTGGGTAAGAACTCATCATCATTATTACCTCTATCATGTCTTGTACTGAATACATCTGAAAATAGACAAGGATTCAGAATAATATAGATAGTGGGTCTTCTGTTTATCAGATGCCTTACTAAATGTGTGCATATAAAACTGAGTGGACAGAATTTCTAACTGCTCCTTAAGCTTATCTCGACACACTTCTATGATCATTCTGAGAATAACATGGAAATTCTTATTTTTTAGAATTTTTAATCTCAAGGGAGTAGAATTTTGTCCATGCAGCAGCACTCCACTTCTTGAATTACTGCATTTCTATTTTTTAGTCATTTTTGTACGAAATTTGAGAAAGAATTACCACAGTCCACAAGAGGTATAATTTTATGGTTAATAAAATCAAAAGCTTGGAATAACCTAAGAGTCTTGGTAGAGTTATCTCCCCTGAACAGCATAAAGTGTCTAACATATTAGGTATATCAAAGAGTTTGATTTTATTGCATATAATCTACACACATAATCATAATTAGTTATGTGTAATCACCTTGAGTATTTAAAGATAATAATGGTACACTTTCTGCTGATGTGTCCAACTCCTCAATAGGCCATTTTGGTATCGGTAGACGTTGTCGAGATCGCTTCAAATACAAAATTGTCATGAAATCAACTTTCAATTATTAATTACTCCTTTAAATTAGGTTACTTAATATTGACATTTCTGTATAATTACTCTTCTGTAAGTGCATCCCCCATAACTGTCAATGAAATTGATTATAGGCAGAAAGAGGCTGGGTTGGAAATAATAAC